TCCATGCAGTTTTCTCTCCCAGCATCAGCCGTCCCGTTCCTAGGAAGCTCATTCTTGTTCCCAAGACTCCTTTTAGCTAAATCTTTCCTGTCATTCCAGGACTTTCTTGTAGTCCCCTCCCCATGAATCTACCAGTGCCTAGGGTGTGTGGGGCACATGGCAGGTGGCCAGTCAGCATCTGGATGTGGAACCAATTGTTCCAGCCTGCCCTCCTCTTACTCTTTTTTTAAATTATTTTTTATTATCTTGTATTATTTTGGAGACAAGGTCTCGCTTCGTTGCCCAGGCTGGAGTGCAGTGGTGCTCTCACAGCTCCCTGCCACCTTGACCTCCGGGCTGAAGCGATCCTATTGCCTCAGCCTCCCAACGTGCCGGGATTACAGGTATGGGCCACCATGCCCAGCCCTCTTACTCTTTCTTCACTCCGTCTCCCTGCTGTCATTGCCATGCTCTTGCGTACACAGTCAGCTGTCTAGTTTTTGATTGTGGACATGTCTGTGTGTGTGGTGTGTATTGTCTCTGACCAGGTTTCAGGGTCCTGAGGCGAGCCTGCAGCTCACGCTGCTCAGCTGTCCTCCCCTGCGGCGGGTGCTCAGGGCCTCTCACTGTTAGTTACTCCCTACTTTCTGCCCAGTTCTGTTAGTAGAAACAGCCATCCTTTCCCCAAGCAAGAAATTGTAGTGGTCGCCCTTAGGAGCCGTGTGAGGACAGAAGGTTAAGAAAGGAGAAGAGTGCCTGGAACTGGAAGAAGGTAAATACTTCCCCTTGCGGGGACACTGATATGTTTTACCAAAATAGTGAATGGAGAAAGTGTCAAAGGTTGGCACTAGTTTTAAAAATACATATAGCCAGTAGACACATGGGGGCTGTTTAAATAAATAAAAAACCCAGTTCTCCCGTCACACCAGCAACATTCCAAGTACTCAGTGGCCATGTGGGGCTAGTGGCGACCACACTGGACACCGCAGATGCAAAACGTTTCCATTGCTGCAGAAAGCTCTGTTGGACAGTACTGTGTCCAGAGGGCTAACTGTCAACAGTCTAGAAACCATGAGTAATAAATTCTCATCAGGAGGTTAAAAGCAGACATGGGAGTAGACCATAATGCAAATGACGATAAGCATTTTGGGTGAGAAGAGGAAGTTGAGGACCCATTTCTAAGAGGTAAGATTTCTTAAGTTCTTTGTCTTAGTCTCCTGCATTCCCCTCATCATTCACTGTACCATACTGTGTAGTCAGAACAGACAGTGTGACTGAAAAGCTTTGGAAAAAGTTCATGCAAAGTATTATTTAGCACATGGGCTGTAGACATGTTCAACCACTGGAGATGAATACCTTTGAACAAAGTATATAGCTTCTCAGATCAGTGGTTGCACTAGTAAATAATTAGAAGGTGTGGTTATTTTTAAAACTATAAGCAAAATTATGAAGGCCTTTAAAAAATTGATCATAATAATAAAAAAAAAAAGGTTGTCTCCTAACAGTGCTGTCCATCAAAGAAAAGATTGATTATGTGGAAACAGCACGTTTGGAGAGACTGTTCTAGTGAATAGCAGTGTATATTTGTGATAGGCAGATTTCTAAGAATGACCCCTATTGACACCCCTGCTAGTGACCTTGTATAATATCCTCCCCCTTTGAGCATGGGTGGAACCTGTTTGATCTATGATTATATCATGTTGTCTAGCAAAAGGAAGACTGTCTGGGGGTAGTTTATTAAATCTTGTGACTCCTTTAAAAGCAGAGAGTTTTCTTAGGCTGGTAGCAGAAGTCACTGACAAAGCAGAAAGACCCCAGGCACCACTGCTGTTTTAAGGTAGAGGGGGCTGCATAAGAAGGAATGCAGATGGCTTTAAGGAGCTGAGAGGCCTAACAGCCAAGTAGCTGGGAACTGCAGTCCTACAGCCACCAAAACTGAATTTAGCCCCTAAACTCATTCATGGGCTTGCAAAGGCATTCATCTCCAGTCTCCAGATAAGACCCAGCCTGGCCAACACCTTGAGTCCAGCTTTGTGAGACCCTAAGCCGAGAACTCCAGTTAAGTCTGCTTGGACTACTGGACTACAGAACTATGAGATAATAAATCAGTGGTGTTTTAAGCTGCTCAATTTGTGGCAATTTGTTGTGTAGGAATAGGAAATGAATACAGCATTTTAAAAGAGATAAAGAGGAAATCTTCATACTTGATTCCCTGTAGTATTCCCTTGGTAAATGCATGAATAAAGTCTTTAGTAACAAGTCATGTACCTGTTACTAAATGTCAGGAATGTCTTCTGCCGGAGATCTCAATTTGTCTTCACTGGGCATTTGTTGGCAAAGTTGCAGCATCTTACTGAGTAGGGTTTTGTAAAGGAACTGCTAAAATGAGATTATAGGAATAGGACTAACACAGTGTATAAGGGATCTTCTTCTTTTTTTTTTGAAGAGGTGTTACTTTATACTGATTTAGACTGCTCTGAACCTGTCAGAAGTAAATTGAAGAATGAGTAACAGTGGTATTTTAGATACAACATTAAGAGCAAAAATAACCTTTGCTTTGTAAAGATCAGATAATCTACTGTGTATCGAGGGACTTAATTTTTTTTTAACCAAAACTTAGTTTCTCTTTTTATCATCTAGCACAGATCAAATCCTCCACGGGCCAGCCAAATGTTGTAGTTTGAGGATGTTTTGCAGATAACCTCTCTGCTTCCAAGCCATTAATTGCTAAAGAAGTTTATTTTTATTTTGGTTTGTCCATTAATTTTTGTGCTTTTTACTGTACTGCCATGGCCTTGATACAAATAGAATTAAAAGAAAGAAAATGAGAGATTAAGACTGTCAAAAGATGGGAAATGTGAGTCATAATCATACCTTAGTGTTGTAAGAGAACTTTATCCAATCCAACCCCTTTATAAAGGAACTTTTCCAAGCTATGTTGCAATATTTATAGGGTGTAAAATTTAGTTTGACTCTGGCAGTTGTGCATTTTAAATTATTAATCTTATATGCTAACTAGTATGCTTACTTTAATGCATGTGAACATACAATGCTAAAAAGATATTTTTTTAAAAAACCCAACTGAACTGAGGATTTGGTTATACATTATGTGCATCAACATGTATATGTAAACTCCTCTCTTCTTACCCGAAACACTCCTTCACCAGTTTGGGCACTAACTAGATCATTTTCAGAGGAACAGATAGAAAGGAGTGAGCTGGCACTCCAGGGTGCGTGTGAGCTGAGAATTTAGAAGACCTTTTTCAAGAAAGTAAACTGAGCGTTAACAGGAAAGCACTTTGCGCGAAGTATCATTCCCACTGTTAACGTTGCAGTAAAATTTGTTAAAAAAAAAAATGGTGCTAAAATTGTTCTAAAATGAAGATGATTGTTTGTTGTGGGGAATATTTTAATACTCTTGGACTTTAGGGAGACTATTTTATGTATCACTTGCTCCTAGTTGTTTCATTGTATTAGTAATTAGCAACTGTCCTGGAACCAAGGGTTTGGTACTTTTACTTGGTTAGCATTCCATTATTTATTTGAAATGCTCAGTGTTTGCTCAAATTTGGTGAAAGTATCTTTTGAAGACATATTCTCCGAGCCTTAAAAGTGGCTGATATTCACAGTACTGTAAGATGCACTGCCAGTAGATTTGAGACTTTTCATTTCAGTGTAGACAGTATGTTTTCTAAGAAAGATTTGGAGCTGGGCACAGTGGCTAACTCCTGTAATCCCAGCACTTTGGGAGGCTGAGGTGGGCGGATCACCTGAGGTCAGGAGTTTGAGACCAGCCTGACCAACATGGAGAAAATCCCATTTCTACAAAAAATACAAAATTAGCCGGTGTGGTGGCGCATGCTTGTAATCCCAGCTACTTGGGAGGCTGAGACAGGAGAATTGCTTGAACCTGGGAGCCCAAGGTTACAGTGAGCCAAGATTGTGCCATTGCACTCCAACAGGAGCAAAACTTCATCTAAAAAAAAAGAGAGTTAAGAATCAGCAAAGTGTAACAATTGTGTTTCATTTATGGAATGAGAAACTGAAGCGTCCTATTCAGAACACTTTGGAAAGGTTGTCTTTGCATCAGGGGTTGTTTCTGGAAGCATCCCTTGGAGAAGCTGCCTGAGGAATCTCCTTGCCAGGTTGTACCAGATTTTTTTTTCTTCTTTAATGTATTGTATATATTTTCTGTAAAATGTCTTCATTAGCTGAATGATTAATATCTGTAGTAATATTTTAGGTACTTGTTGGATTTTTAAAGGAAGATTATTTATTTTCAGATTTGCTGCTATAATTGAAAACCTAATAACTGGTCCTGTTGACTGTGCCTTTCATCACTGTTTTCTGTGCCACGACCGTTCATGTGTATTTGAAATAAAATAATAGTTTAAAAAGCCATGTTGAATTCAAGATTCCTTCTAATAAAAATAGGTGAAATTTATTGAGTAGCATTTTATTAATTTTAACGATACACTACTACTTACTTATCCATTTTCAGTTAGAAAACAGGAGTGGATCCTTTAGTTGGGCTTTGTAAACTCTTCAAAGAAAGGAAAAAAGCCTTACTGTTAAGACAGTGATGATCAATATTATGCAGATGTTCACTTTATTATATGTACTATATAGTTCCTAAAATAAGAGTAGCCACCCTGGGCCTCTTCGATCTAATATATTTTGAGGCTGTAAGTTTTTAATGTAGAAAATGCTGCTAATGATGCTTAGGGCCTGAAGTACAGTGACTCCTGTTTGAGTGACATTACAGGTTACAGAGGATTCTGAAGGTTAGAAGGGATCATGTGGCTTATGTAAATATTTAAAATGCAGCTCATTAGAAATGGAGATTATGCATTTTTGTTGATAGGAGAGACAGGGTGTGTGTGTGATTATTCCTATGTTCCCCAACTACTCTTTCAAAAATACTAATTCATATTATTTTACATTTATATTTTCCCCATGCCCTTAGCATTTTATATGTAGCTCCTATCTGTGCAAATATTAGAATGAACACATGTACATGCTTTAGTTTAAAAAATATTTATTATAGAAATGTACATTTAATTAGTTTTAAGGAATGTACCTGACCACAGTGTTAACATATATTTCTTCAAATTTGCAAACTTTACATCTTTAAGATATCTACAAAGATAGTTTATTTACAAGTTTTACAAGAAATTATCACTTCACAAATACTGCTGACACAGTTACGACTGAATATTCTTTTTTTTTTTTTTATTTCACTCTGTACTTATAGAAAGAACACAGAGTATGGGTGAAGTTCCATCCCAGTGCCAGTGACAGCCCGTAGAGTAGAATCAGAGGTGCAAATGGATACAGAAGAATTACTGTATTTTTCAAAAATGGCAACGCTAGAAAAGAAAGAAATCCAAATTGGTTTTTAAAAAAGCAAATAAATGACTGGTAAATGAACATTTTGAAAGACAGCTTACTTCAACATGTGGGGTGGAAGGGAGCGAGTCTTTTGAATCACCAAGATGATGCTATTTATAGCCAGAACTAGATGAGTCTTCCCACCCTCTGTGCTGTCTTCTTGTATAGGGCCGGGAAGAAACCTCAGAGGTGAATTATTAGAGCATAGAGGCTCACTGGGACACACAATGGATCAAGAGAGGTTAACAGTAAGGGAGAAACATCACAGTACTCATGAAAACAGTGGTGAACCTAAACTTGTGACTGCCTCAGAAGCCTCTAGGAGTCCAACTTAAAGTACAGAGATGGATGATGTTACAGGAAGACATCTTTTAGCTAATTGAGATTTTCACTGTAGAGCATTATACCCCCACTTTAAGAGGGTGTGAGCTCAACTAGTAGTCCAAGATTTAGGAAAGAACTCAAGATCTAGCTCCAAATATTGATGTTTCTTGCTCACTGCTTTGTTAGCAGGACCCTACCCCATGCATCCTGACCTAAGTATTTCTCAGACAGGAAGTTCTTAAATGGAAACTGAACTGTACTCCAACTATTCTAAGTGGTACAGAGAGTTACCAGGAGTGCTCAAATCTCCACTTAAGAGAAACCACAGTGCTGCCATGTTCTAATCACAGAACACTTTCAAAATTCATTAGAAATGGCACAAACATCTCCCCTGGACTACAGAAAGCACTCCCCAAACAAGACATTACAACAAAGGGGTTAAGAGGTCCCTGGCATACAAGCTGGGCTGAAGGGGGGAGGGTGAGATGGGAGTGGGAGCAACTGACCAGAGAAGCCGGACACAGTCAGAGCCGTCCGTACTAACAGGCCCTTAACCATCTACAGAAACGGAAAAGGATGGGCTTAGAAACGTACAGTGCTAACAAGTCATAAGTAATGTCTCTAGATTTTATTTGGCTTTATTTAATGGAGATCCTTTCTTACCATAAATGAAGAATAACATATTCCTCATTCATATTAAGAAAAATGAACTGACAACAGGATTTAAGAGTAAATCTGCACACATGTCCCGAGGACAATAAATGTTGGGCCCGATCTTCTGTGATCGTCTACAGACCATATGGTAATCATGAAAACTAAAAATAAGACAAAAGTATGATTCAAAAGGCTTCAGGGAATTTCATTTCATACATCTGTGTGACTAGATGCCGAGCCCCACCTTTCTCTACTCTACCCTACTGCTGGTAACCCACAACCAGAAACCATGGGGGAAAAGGAGGAGTAAATGGGCTTGGATTCCTGGAAGTCATTTGGAGATAACCAGTATGGTTTAACATGCATGGTTCCTTGAAATTATAAAATTTGTTCTATACCAGCTAGACCATTTTCTAGCTGCATGACCGGGGCAAGTTGCTTCATCTCTGTGCCTCAGTTTCTTCATTTGAAAAAAGGAAACAAGTAAACCTATATAATTGTTATGAAGATTGAGATAATACACATAAAATACTTAGGACAGTGCCTTAAGTGTTCCATAAAAGCAAGCTATTAGTTTTACTGTTAGAACTTTCCCCCTCTTGCTATGTTCTCAATCAACCAAAAACATTTAAAAAAAATTACTTACCACTGTATCCCAGGAAAGTGACATAGATATAATAGCCAACCGCAACCAACCATAAGGTATTTCCAACTAAATATCCAATAAATGTGTCTGTCAGGATAACATCTGCCAGAAGAGATGCAGACAATGAGTCCCTTTACCAATGCATGCAATGAAGACCTGGATAATATTCTAAGTAACTGCTACTTACGGTTGATGAAAAAAAGCTGGATAAAATGCAGAATGACCAGGAGTGGATAAAAAGCATTGAGATGCACATCAAAAGCATAGCCCCATTCCACATCATAGTCTCTGCTCTGTCGTTTCACTAAATACTTGTTAGAGATGAACCTAAGAGCAAAATTAAAATGTCTTTCATAATAAAATTAATTCTGTAAATGTTTACTAACTACCTTCTATATGGCAGACATTCTAAATTCTGGAGATACGGCAGTAAACAAAACAGACAAAAATCCCTGCCTTCCATCTAGGGGGAAAGACTGACTGATATAAGTATGCCAGATGGTACTATGGAGAGAAGAGAAATGTGTAGCAGAGAAATGTGGAAAATACAAACTTGAGATGCAATTTTACATTTAAGGGTCATAGAGTAACGTTGGGTAAAGACCCAAGGACTGTCATAGCGCCTGGTAGGTCTGAGGAATGAGTAAAAAGTCCACTGTGCTGAAAGAAGAAAAGGAGCAAGAAATTAAGTCAGGAAAGAAACAGGGTTGGGCCCAACATCTAGTCACACAGGCTCCACGTCTTACAGAGCCTGTGGCCATTTAAAAATCTGGCTTTTATTCCTGGTGAAATGAGAAGCCACTGTGAGTTTTGAGAAAAGTATTTGACTTAAATGTCTTGACAGAGCTGCCCTGGTGACTGATCTGAGGACAGACTCTACAGACAAGAGTAGAAGCAGAGACCAGTTCCAAGGCTACTGCAAGGAAGAGATGAGCAGAGGGGCTGGTCGCAATGGAGGTGCTAAGATGTGGAACACACAATACTCTGAAGCCTGTGACGTAAAGTATTGGATGTGGAGTATGAGAAAGACCGAAGGATGACTGAGAGATTTTTGCCTTGAACAAATGGAAGATGGAGCTGCCTTTAACTGAGGTGGGGCTGGCTATGAGAAGAGTGATTTTGAGGCAGGAAGGAGTGTGCAGAAGTTTGAATTTGGACCTGTTATGTTGAAGATGCCAACTAGGATGGAGTAAGAAGTTGTATACAAAGTCTAGAGTTTGGATGATAAGTCCAAACTGGAGATACAAACTCGTCAGTGTGTAGATTATATTAATATTTAAAGTCACAGGCCTGAATGATGTCACCAAAAAAATGAATGTGGATAATGAGTCAACCCCCTATTAAAAGGAGGGTGAAATAGGAGTGGCAGTTAAGGAAGAGTGACATATCTAGCCTTAAGAACAATTATTCAAGCTTAGGTCACTGTTCTACAACACAACCTACTAGTTTTTTAGTTCAGTGATAAGTGAATAAAAAGTAAAACATCTGAGTAATAGAAAAGTAAATCTTCAAAGAACAAAAACTGTGTTATAAACATATATTGAAAATTCAATGTACTTTTTAAAGTATTATTTCATTTCAACTCAAGGATACAATTAAGAATATGCTATTCCGGCACTGGGAATAAAAATAGAAAATAGAGGAAAAACATGGTACAATACTAATGTAACAGCCCTGCATTTAGTTATCTGAAAATGCCAAAACAATACTGAACAACTAGAGCTTACCCAGACAGTTTCCTTTTTAGCCAAGAACGTGTGCCATTCAAATTGTATGGAGTCAATATGTAGCTCACTCCCCAAGAGCGCCCTTTCTGTAGAAGTTCGCTGCTCCCGCTATTCCCCTGCTTATCCCAAATGCGCACTTTCCAAGCTTCTGGCCTCACTGTGAGTCTCACCTCTAGAACACAGATGCGCCTTCTGAGGCACTCTAAGGCACTGTGGTTTTCACCTCCCAACTCCATATTAACGACGCCAGTCAGAGGCTCATCAGGGTCACGACTCTTGCCTCTAGGTCTAGAGTCATCGACCTCAGTGTCTACTGACCTTCTTTTCCACTATTCAACATGCTCTCTGAACTCAACATGGCAACAAGGGCTGCTTCATCTGCACCTGCTGCTTTCTCAGTCATCGAAGCCCAAACTTTGCAGGCCAGCCCAAAGAAGGCTCCCACCCACTCCCCCTTCCCGATCCCCCCTCACACCTTGTTATCTCAGGAAGCTCTTGAATCCATCTCTCCTCTCTATTCCTATTACCACCACACTATCTGGGCCTCCTCTACTCCTACACGGACCTCTGCAGGTGTATCTAGCCTTGCCTACTCCCTACTCCCAACTTTTGCCTGCTCTGCTGCCATAGAAAATATTTTTCCTAAAATGTGAATTTGACATTATTTCCTTACTTCAAAGCCTCAAAGCTACCCACCTCCTTCTGCCCCCAACCCACAAATGCGGTCTATGGGACAAAGTCCAATTTTTTTCCTGAATGGCATTAAGGCCAATTTCTCTAGTTCCATCTCTTCCCTAGTCACTCGGTGTCACCCTATGCTCCCAGACTTATTGTGCTGTTCTACCTCTAAGCCTTTGCACTTGCCATTCCTGGTACCAGGAGTCAACGATTCCACATCTCCACAAAACACCTCCTCATGCTGGTGTCTGTGGCACCTCTGGATGCTCATAATTATATGGAGTCATTTCTCTTTCTAGTTCCTCATACTACGTAGGTTCTTACAAATACAATGAATCTCTTTCTATTTAATCCAAACTATGATTCAGACTCACATGAAAGGTGCTAATCTCCAAATTGATTTAGTTTCTGTGGCTGATATAGTTTGGCTGTGTCCCCACCCAACATCTCATCTTGAATAGTAATCTCCAAAATCCCCATGTGTCGAGGGTGGCGCCGGGTGAATGTAATTGAATCATGGAGGCAGTTTCCCCCATGCTGTGCTAGTGACAGTGGGTGAGTCTAAAGGATCTGATGGTTTTGTAAATGTCTGGCATTTCCCACTTGTACTCACTCTGTCCTGCCACCGTGAGGAAGGTGCCTGGTTTTGCTTTGCCTTCCACCATAACTGTAAGTTTCCCTAGCGATGCAGAACTGAGAGTCAATTAAACCTCTTTCCTTTATAAATTACCCCGTCTCAGATATTTCTTCATAGCAGCGTGAGAACAGACTAAGACAATGGCCCTCCAGAATTACTGCATTCATGGCAGAATGCTTATTATAAATCAAACTATTCCTCTGAAAGTCTTATTTATTGAAATTTTAAAATACACCATATGCTTTTCATGAAATTCTCGGTAATGAATACGTGACTTACATTAGTGTTAATTCTAGGCCAGATTTTAGAATTTTATGTTAATAATGCACAGCATTTATTGGCTAACCAGCACATATAAAAGCTCTGCTGTACTAGTCAGAAGTTACAAAGGAAAATACAGGCATATGTCATTTTACCACACTGCACTGTACTGCGCCTCACAGATACTGTGGTTTTTTCTTTTTACATATTGAAGGTTTGTGGCAACTGGGTCCAGCAAGTCAGCCTCTGCCAATTTTCCAGCAGCATATGCTCACTTCATGTCTCTGTGTCAGCATTTTTTAGCAATAAAGCATTTTAAAATCAAAATCTGTACATTGTTTTTTTAGAGACGTAGTGCTGTTGTACACCTAGACTATAGTACAGTGTAAATAAGATTTTAATATGCACTTGGAACCAACAAATCTGTGTGACTCGCTTTATTGTGGTATTTGTTCTACTGCAATGGTCTGGAACTGAATTGGCATATATGGGCTATGCCTATAAAAGGCTGGTATCAGCTGGGCGTGGTGGCTCACACCAAATCAAGAGTGAACTCCCATTCACAATTGCTACAAAGAGAATAAAATACCTAGGAATACAACTAACAAGGGATGTGAAGGACCTCTTCAAGAAGAAATACAAACCACTGCTCAAGAAAGTAAGAGAGGACACAAACAAATGGAAAAACATTCCATGCTCATGGTTAGGAAGAATCAATATCGTGAAAATGGTCATACTGCCCAAAGTAATTTATAAATTCAATGCTATCCCATCAAGCTTTCTGTGACTCTCTTCACAGAATTGGAAAAAACTACTTTAAATTTTATATGGAACAAAAAAAGAGTGCACATAGCCAAGACCTAAGCAAAAAGAACAAAGCTGGGGGCATCATGCTACCTGACTTCCAACTATACTACAAAACTACAGTAATCAAAACAACATGGTACTGGTACCAAAACAGATATATAGACCAATGGAACAGAACACAGGCCTCGGAAACAATGCCACGTATCTATAACCATCTGATCTTTGACAAAAGCAATGGGGAAAGAAGTCCCTATTTAATAAACGGTGTTGGGAAAACCGGCTAGCCATATGCAGAAAGCTGAAACTGGATCCTTTCTTTACGCCTTATACAAAAATAAGATGCATTAAAGACTTAAACATAAGACCTAAAACCATAAAGACCCTAGGTAAAAACCTAGGCAATACCATTCAGGACACAGGCATGGGCAAAGAATTCATGACTAAAACACCAAAAGCATTGGCAACAAAAGCCAAAATTGGCAAATGTGATCTAATTAAACTCCAGAGCTTCTGCACAGCAAAAGAAACTATCATTAGAGTGAACAGTCAACCTACAGAATGGGAGAAAATTTTTGCAATCTCTCCATCCGACAAAGGGCTAACATCCAGAATTCACAAAGAACTTAAACAAATTCACAATAAAAAAAAAACCCCATCAAAAAGTGGGCAAATGATATGAACAGACACTTCTCAAAAGGAGACATTTATGCAGCCAACGAACATATGAAAAAAAGCTCATCATCACTGTTCTTTAGAGAAATGCAAATCAAAACCACAATGAGATACCACCATCTCACACCAGTTAGAATGGCAATCATTAAAAAGGAGACAACAGATGCTGGAGATGATGCGGAGAAATAAGAACGCTTTTACACTGTTAATCGGAGTATACATTAGTTCAACCATTGTAAAAGACAGTGTGGTGATTCCTCAAGGATCTAGAACTAGAAATACCATTTGACCCAATGATCCTATTACTGGGTATATATTCAAAGGAGTATAAATCATTTATTATGAAGATACATGCATACATATGTTTTTTGTGACACTGTTCACAATAGCAAAGACTTGGAACCAACCCAAGTGGCCATCAACGACAGACTAGATAAAGAAAATGTGGCACATATACACCATGGAATACTATGCAGCCATAAAAAAGGATGAGTTCATGTCCTTTGCAGGGACATCGATGAAGCTGGAAACCATCATTCTCAGCAAACTAACACAGGAACAGAAAACTAAACACCACATGTTCTCACTCACAAGTGGGAGTTGAACAATGAGAACACATGAACACAGGGAGGGGAACATCGAACACAGGGAGGGGAACATCACACACAGGGGGCCTGTCAGTGGGTGGGAGCCTAGGGGAGGGACAGCATTAGGAGAAATACCTAATAGATGACGGGGTGATGGATGCAGGAAGCCACCATGGCACATTTATATTTATGTAACAAACCTGCAGGTTCTGCACATGTACCCCAGAACTTAAAGCACAGTTTAAAAAAAGGTTGGTATCTTAAGTGATAGTTGCAGAGTTTTGCTTAAAATACTAGTAGGAACTACCAAATACTGAACACTTAACTGTGTTCAGGTACTCTTCATACCATAATTCTCTCAAAAGTTGGGCAAAATAGATAATTAACTTGATTTTACAAATGAGACTGGGACTGGCCAGGCGCGGTGGCTCAAGCCTGTAATCCCAGCACTTTGGGAGGCCGAGGCGGGTGGATCATGAGGTCAAGAGATCGAGACCATCCTGGTCAACATGGTGAAACCCTGTCTCTACTAAAAATACAAAACATTAGCTGGGCATGGTGGTGCGTGCCTGTAATCCCAGCTACTGAGGAGGTTGAGGCAGGAGAATTGCCTGAACCCAGGAGGTGGAGGTTGCAGTGAGCTGAAATCGCGCCATTGCGCTCCAGCCTGGGTAACAAGAGTGAAACTCCATCTCAAACAATACAAAACAGAAAGAGTAACAGACTGGGACTAAGGGTTACACAGATAACTAACTTGGCATTTGAACCCAGGTCTCTCTGCAACTAAAATGTTCTCTACAGTGACCACCACGCTGCTCAACCACTGGTTCTCTACTGAGATTGCTGGCCACATCCCGTGCCCTTCATCCAGTATGACAATAACACAGGACAACTTGATTAAACACCAGATTTATCCTCAAGTACACTGCTGTTGTGAAGTCAACCAAAGGCAGACTGAGAACCCTTTGACAAAACCCGTGTGTGTGTGTGGGGGGGGGAGGAGAGGGTTTTTTTCTCAGCAGGAAGGCCTGAGAAGTTTAAAAACAGTCCTGATTTTTCAAGTATACTTCATTTAATGCAAAGATTCAATGTAAGATGCTACAAAATACCCTTTAGATCTAAATGGATTTAAACACAATGAATATCTAGAAGTGGTCTCTACTGATAAATGCAGAAAACCATGCTATCATCCAGACAACTTAAGCAGAACTGGCTAAATCTGTAATATTTTTGCAAAACCAGGGATTTTGTTAGTATGAAGAAAATAAATCTTGGGACCCCCAAATCACTATGCCAAAGGTAAAAGTCAAGCTGCAAACTGTGTCAGGCAAACTTGCCTCCTATTTTAATCCTAAATAAGATAGCTTATCTTTACAGCTGTGGGACATAAAGTCTTTCTGTTCACCTGAGACAAGTGTTTATCTGATTGCTTTATTGTTTATGTAAAAACGCAGACTCACTCACCGAGCCAGACTAAGGCATAAATGACTATTCCTGTACCTGCCTCTCATAAGTAAATTGTGTATTCAGTGAAAGGCTGATCAAAGACTCAAAAGAATACAGCCATTTGTCTCTCATCTAACTATAACCTGCCTTTCCCTGCTTTCTAGACTGAAACAGTATACTTCTTATACATATTGACTGATGTCTCATGTCTCCCTAAAATGTATAAAAGCAAGCTGTACCCCGACCACCTTGGGCACATGTCATCAGGACCTCCTGAGGCTGTGTCACAGGCATGTCCTTAACCTTGGCAAAATAAACTTTCTAAATTGAGACCTGTCTCAGATATTTTGAGTTCAAAATATAATCATTATTTCAATTATTTGCTACACTTTGACAATATAAACCATCCTTTAGAGTATTTTCTGATATAGGTGGCAACACATGAGGGCAAACTGTAATAATCTTGGTAGTCAAAATTGATCATTCAGGACTCTATCTTGGTTTCAATTTCCATCTGTTGCTATTGTACCTCTGAAGCAAACAAACGGAGATGCTAAACCAAAGTTATGGTACTTACCACATTAAAGTTGCTATCAGAAGACCAACACCTACACAATCTATGAATACAACCCAAAGGAGAAGCTTTATTGTCTCAAAGAATCCCATGTCCAGCACAAAGCCAAATCCTATAGTGGACACTGAAAGAAAGATTCACAATATTCATTTAGGCACTCTGCTAGATTCTGGAAATACAGAACACATCCCCTGCCCCCTAGATGCCCAGGCTAGTGGGAGAGACAGGTCTGTAAACAAACTCCCAAAATGTGTGAACACCACCTTGGAACACAGCATGGCTACTGAGGGAGCTGAAGTTTCCTGAGAAGGGCCCTTGCCAGGCTGATTCACCATGGTGGCCTCAGTATTTAGAGTGGCAGTCTAGGGCAGGCACTAACATAGTTTAAGTCCAGTTAAAGGTGCAAAACAGTCTATAAACTTCAATATCCTGCACACTTCAACACCCTACAGGTAAATGAGACCCTTGCGTTATGGAATTGGAGAACTTCAGTTTCTCAAATTCACATCAATACCTTTACAACTCTCACTCTGGATCTGCCTGACAGAAATGCAATTTCCAGTTTCCTATTCATTTCCACAGTCAGCTGGCATTTGGGTACCGATTCACAGTAGTTATAAAGACATGGAGTGAATCCTGTCCCCTGCTGTTCAATGTCCTAGGGCAACAATTTACTCTGGCATCTGTAGAACCAAGAAGACTAAGACTTTCTTTCCTGCGAGATTTTTGAGGCCTCAGTAAAAAGGAGAAGTAGCTTCCAATATTTCCAAATTCTGACCCACAACACATTTATAATAAATGAAAAGTCTAATCAGAAACGCTCAGTGTTCAAGTCTATTGCAGATAAACTACCACTTACCACAGAGCCAGATACTTAACAGTACCAAGAAAGCAGGGTCATCTCTGGCCCACTGGTCCTTCGTCTGTTTTCGGTAATGAAAGTTTCTGTAAACTCTCTGCGGGGACGTGAACAGGTAGAGCATCTGCCAGGCAGCAAATTCAAAGTCCATCTGCCGAAAGCGGAAAAGTCTTCTCAGATATTTGTAGCGTTTTGCTCCGGCTGTGTGTCTTGCTGCATCCCTGGAACTCAGGACTCCATTCCCCTGCACTGAGGAATTCAATGAAGTACTCGGTAACATCTTCCTAGATTGAAGAAAAACATTTCTTTTACACGTATTCCGAAGAAACCCTTGGCTACCGGCACCCCTCTTGGGAGGGAGGTCACTTTACATGTTCTTCCAACCCTAGAGAAAGGCCAGGGGTCAAAAGCAAATGCAGTTGGTTCTGAAGCGGGTCTTAGGGCTTGGGAACTGCAGACTGCACCTCAGGCAAAGGCTAGAGCCCACCCTTCTGAATCACCTAGTAACACTTATCCACGGGCAGCTACTGTTACAGAGACAGGGGGATGAAGTGACTGCCTCATGACTCCGAGGATAGTGACAGAGCTAAGATTAGAAATCTGACTCGAAATTCCGTGCTTTTAAGAAAATGCCACAAAGCTTTTAAGAAAATGCCTAAGAAAACAATGTTTCAGCTGGTTAAACACCGTTACTGAAAAGGTAAAATAAACAGCCTGTTCACACAAATCCATCAGCGCACGGCCAGCAAGCTCCTCGGTTACTAAAATAAGATTAAAAACCAAGTAGAACTCCTATCCCTAGTGTTTTACATCCGGAATAGTTCAGCAGAGGGAGCGGCAGCGTTGGAGTCCAGTCCAACCGGTCCCAGCTCCGAGGAGCGCCGGCCACTGCCCAGCTGCCTGTTTCCCCTCCACTTCGCAGGCCCCCGGGACGCTGGCAGCGCCTGGCCGGGCCCAGCTGCTCCCTCCCGGCCCGCGGCCGCGGGTACGGCTGCCAGATTAACCAAATAAAAACACAGAACGCCCAGCTCTATTTGGATTTCAGACAGGCTACGAATAAGGTTTTAGTATACCTACATCTCACGCAACATTTCGGATATGCTTATACTAAAGGCTCTTTATCTATGCAGATGTAACTGGGCGTCCTTAATTTTAACCGCAACTCCACCGCGGCCGGACGCTGACACGGTTACTGCCCGGCGGCAGCGACGCCAGGCCTCAAGCTGTCGGGACTAAATGGCCCCCAGCGCGAGCCGGGGCCAAGGGTGGGAAGAGCGATCCTCAGACCTCACCTGGAGCCCTGCTGCAGCCTCGACTCGCGTCCGAACCAGCCCACCACCTCGTTCCACCCGCCGAGCCCAGCAGCCGCCGGGCCGGCTTCCCTTTCCGCAACGTAGCCGGCGCTCGCAGCGCGCCGCTTCACACGCACCCACTTCCGTCACGGATCCACCACCTCTCGGCCTCCGTCGTCCTCGGCCCAACAGCCGCGGCCCGCCGGAAGTTATTGCAACTGATTTCCGGTCCCCTACTACGGGTCCCATTCGCTGCTGGCGAGATTGCAGCTGTTGCAGTAGAAGAAAGTGGAGTCCGCAGCGGACTGGAAGCGCCGTAATGCCCCAGTATTACGAGGACAAGCCGGAGGGCGGCGCGTGCTCGGGCTTGAAGGAGGACCTGGGCTTGTGTCTGCTGCAGTCGGATTGTGTGATGCAGGTAGCGCAGCCGGGTGCTCCGGGTGGTGAAGACGGCTGCGCCGGGGAGGTTCGGCTCGGCGGAGGGCTGCAGGATGCCCGCCGCGGCGGTTCGAGTTAACCGTCCCGGGCGTAAGTCACAGGTCGGGCTCACTGAACGTCGCAGATCCATTGAGCTATTGGAGCCTCAGTTCTCTATGGGGTTAAATCGGAGATAACGATACCCACCCGGTCGGGTTTTTGTGAAGATTAACCTATTTGCGTTCACGAGGCGTTTATTGAATGCTAGCGCTCTGCTAAGTCCTGAAGACAAAAAGGAGAATAAGCCAGGTTTCTTGCCTGTCCAGAAATGAGAATCTGTAGAATGAATGATTCCAGAGAGTTGTGTAAACCCGGTACACTGCCCTGGCCAGTAGTGTCTCTTGTCTGTTCAGTTGTGACTGAATGTATGCTAAATTTGCCTTGTGTTGATGCGAATGTTTCTGAGTTACAATTCTCTGCATTTTTGGATGTTAAGTTGTGAAAATAAAGCAACTCCGTATTTGCACGATTTCGTATCTTGCTTCCCCTACCCTCTTCTTTCACTTCCCGGCTACAGTCACTGGTCTCCTCAGCACCCAATCTGAATGCAGGGGCATGTAGTGAGGGTCAGAGTGGACCTGGGCTCTGCTTTTGAGCCCAAGTAAAGCACAAGCGACTTTTCCAATTGCAGAGGTCGGAGGGTATTCAGTTGTGTGCAATTATCTTTGCACTGGGGGATGTAGTTTCATAAAGGTGCTGTTATTTCAGAGAAAAGATTACCCCCAAATGGACATCCACTATAAGGCTGTATTAGTATTTCTTCCGAGTCACAATTTATGTTTGGTTCACCGATTTTAGCAGTTAGTCATTCTCGCCTCCCAATGTCTAGTAAAACGAGTTATAAATTTAAGAGATTATCTCGCCAACTTCCTTATGTAAATGAGGAAACTGAGGTACCATTGTTTTCAGGCTCCCCTGTCCAGGGCTGTGTTCCCTCTGCCCCTCATTCACTGGTGCTGTTCAGCCCACTCCTGGTAAATGCCTCTTTTTTTTTTTTTTTTTTTTTTTTTGGGACGGGAGGGAGTTTCTCTTTTTTTACCCAGGCGGGAGTGCAATGGCGCGATCTCGGCTCACCACAACCTCCGCCTCCTGGGTTCAGGCAATTCTCCTGCCTCAGCCTCCTGACTAGCTGGGATTACAGGCACGCGCCACCATGCCCAGCTAATTTTTTGTAGTTTTAGTAGAGACGGGGTTTCACCGTGTTGACCAGGATGGTCTCGATCTCTTGACCTCGTGATCCACCCGCCTCGGCCTCCCAAAGTGCTGGGATTACAGGCTTGAGCCACCGCGCCCGGCAGGTAAATGCCTCTTAAGTGGCAGGCATGGTGCCTGACACTGGTGATAACAAAGATGTATCAGTAGCAGTCACTACCCACTACCCACGTAAGCTTGGTGTCATGGGAGAAGTAGACATCTAAGAGTCTAAATTCCTGCCATAAGACTAAGCATTTATTAAACATGCGTTTAATGACTAGATCTTGAGGGAAAAAATGCCTTAGCCCATGGAGAACATCTGATTTTGCTTCAGAATTTGGAATAATCTTCTGAGGTGACATTTGAGCTGAGTTGAAAGGTTGGGTAGTAGTTTATCAAGTAAAGGAGCAGGAATTGTGGTTGTGGGGAAAATCTGAAAGAACAGCAAGTGCAGAGGCAGAGAGATGTGGGAGGGCCCAGAGGAGCTAGTGTTCATAAGATAGTGCAACAGAAGGCCTGAGGGGAAGGTTGCAGCCAGGTGTGAAGGCCTGCGTGTGTGTCAGGGTGAGGAGATTGGATTTTATCCAGACGTTCAGGCCGTGTTGATGAATGGTCAAGGGAAGAAAGTACGCCAAGTAGGACTGAGGAAAGAAACTGCAAGCTGAGGGCAGTATCGGCAGCACAGAGAATTCCAAGCTGGCTTTCTGCAGTGGTTGATACAGCAAACATGTATGGAGTGCCAGGCTCCAATTCAGGGAACAAATACTGATGAATGGAACATGGTCTCTCCAGTGTAGAAAGCCGGGCTTTGGAAGGCTAGCATGCTTTAGGCAGAGACAATGATTGGGACAGCTGGTACAGACTTTGCTTTCCCTGCCATTGAATACGTGGCCTTACCAATGCTCAGTTTGGTCAGCCAGAAAACCTGATGCTTATAAACAGTTCTTTAGCTGGATGTTCGTTTACAGTTTGTGTTAAATTCATTCTGAATGGTTACTTCAACTGGAGTGTAAAAGGGCAATCACAGAGGTTTTCAGGTCCAGAACAATCTCCTACTTTCTTGGATGGTGTCACTGGCAGCTACTGCCCACTACTCCTCACTGGAGACTCTGAAGACCAGGGAAAGCTCTGCTGAGATCTGTGTTTGCTCTGTATGGCAGCCTTATTTATGATGGAGATTTTAGATTTCTTAAGTTCTTGAAGAAAAAGGTTAATGTGAACTTATGTCAGGTTGGTGCTAGTCTCCTCTGGCCAGTATTTAACCCACCTGAAACCTGCAGCATCTCACTCTAGGGAGGAATTCAGCATAAACATGTATTTAGTTCTAGGTGCTGCTTTGGGAGATTGTCAAGGAGTTAGAGGGTCTCAGAGGAACTCAGGGTAATGGTAAGGATGTAAATTCCAGTGGGGCTGGAGGAAAGCAGGGCAAAAGCAGATGCAAAAGGCCTCTCTTGGAGACTTATTAGAATTTAATGACTCCTGGATGATGAGGACAATGAAACTCTGCAAGAGGAACTTCACTCGTCACAGGGTATCTTCTCTGTCTCCACTAACAGCCTCCAGACCTGCTGGCTCTTCGTCAGAATCACCTGCAAGTGGTGTGGCTTTTTAAAAGTACAGATTCCACTGCTGCCCTTACCCCACCCCCAATAAGTTAAAAGTTTCTTTCCTAGGTTGGCTCTTGGGCACAGCCATGTTTGAGAATGCTGACTGATCTTGACCTCAGAAAGCAAAAAAGCTTGGGACTGTATTAGTTATAAATTCAAGTACGTGTTTCAGAGACCCAGGATAATAGTGGCTTAAACAAGATAGAGAACTTTCTCTTGTTTTTGTGCCTATAAGTAGGGCCTGGTCATTTCTCTCAGTCTTCCATGGACACAGACCCTGTTGATCTTGCGACTCTATGTGCTGTGAAATAGGAAAATATAGGAAATAGCGTGTTGCTCTCATAGTCATGGTTCAAGACTGCTTTGCTTCCACATCATCGGGCCCGGCAACCATATGGAGTAAAGTGAGGAAGAAGGGCAAGTCTCTTTAAGGACCAACCCAGAAGTTCTACCCGTTTCCCACACATTCCAGTGGCTAGAACTTAGTTACATGACCACAACTAGATGCCAGGGTGTCTAGGAAATCTCACCCAGCCATATGCTGGATAAAAAGGAAGAGCAGACAACTAGCAGTCTGTTATTTGGGGTACAGTGGATGATGAATGACTGCCTCCTAGCTTTAGTGTATCTAATGGATCTTTACCCAGGCAGTTGGCAATACAGTATAGGTTGAAAGCTTTTGAAAAAGGTAGCATCTTACATACAGTTTGAAGAGGTATCAGCTTATAAACGATAGTTACAACCTTTTGTATGGTTAGTCTTTTGTCTGCCTCCACGTGATTCATGTGGGCAACACATTCCACCAGCAGAATTGCAGAGTTTGGAGAGGAAGGAAGCTTGCTACTCTGATCCACTTTTGAGAGTCACTGATGTGGATGACATTTGATATCTAGGACCCAGGCAGGCATACAGACTGGAAGGTGGCCAAGATTCCTGGGGAACAGGAATACCACAGACATAGCGCCCTGTAGCTTTTCATAGTAAAAACTAGCAGAGTGTGCCTGGCACTAGCAACATAAAGGTTCTGGGGAGTGGTTGCAGTGAGGGGGTCGTAGAGTCAAAATCTGCTTGAGGGGAAACCCCAGATTATGCAGTGCCGGTGAGCATTGAGTTACATTTTTCCTGGTGCATGAATGGGCCACATGTTTCTATTTAGGTAGTATTCCAGCCTGCCTCGTTAATATCTATGTAAAGTGTCTCCTACCAACACTAAAAATGTTCTGATGTTAGGGTACATAGTTCATACATTTCACCCATAAGGAAATGAAGATATCCCTTTCTAGATTTTTATATAAACATTTTAAGTAAAAGTATCCTATAGAAACCAGTGTTTTCAAGAATTCAACAGTACCCTTCAAGTTCCCCAAAGTTACTTATTTTTTTTTTCATTCTTTAGGTACCAACAGCCCAAGTGAATTAAGAACTGTTTCTTACATAACTTTCTATTTTCCTCTTTTAACACTTTAAAAAAGAACTATTTTCAGAAGGACAATTATTTTGTACTTTGTGAGAAAATTTCCAAGGTGTTTATATTGTTTTATGTGTCTATCATAGGAAGGAAAATCCCCTCGGGAGTGTCTGAAGGAAGGATACTGCAAAGCTTTGAAATACTCATTTTTCGAGTGTAAAAGATCAACGGTAAGTGGTTAAAGATTTTTAAAAGCTTATGGTAAAAATTAGCTATATGGAGGTTAAATGTATGAATGACTTAATAGTTACAGATAAGTTGCAGTGATATGGTTTGGAAAAAAAGATGTGGATAGTATTTCTTATCCAATGAGTTAATGGTAAGTAGCATTCATAAAAACCCAGAGCTCATTGTTATGTTATTCTGTCACCGTGCTAACCACAGCTACTGAACTTCATGCATTTCTGAAAGTGTGAGAATGAAGTCTCAGCAGGTATAGATGGGTACAAGTTGATGCTGGCCACTTGAGTTGAGATCAGTTGGCGATTGTACACAGACCTATAATGTGGAGCTCTAAGGTGTATATACTTGTGCCTTACGTGACTAAGAGAAAACGTCAGTATCTATGTTTGAATTTTGGAGGGATGGATTGTAGAAATAGGGCCTAAAAGGGGATTACAAATCTCTGGGGTTCATTCTAACATTCTCTGACTTGGAAGCTCTACAGATCTTTGGAATGAAAACTGATACCCTTTTCTTAGAGAAAAGCATAAAACCAGAAATATGAGCATCCCATTAAAGGAAGAAAGCACTTGGACTTGAGGATACTTTTTTTTGTGATGGAATCTTGTTCTGTCACCCAGGCTGGAGTGCAGTGACCTGATCTTGGCTCATTGCAACCTCCCAATTCAAGAGATTCTCCTGCCTCAGCCTCCTAAGTAGCTGGGATTACAGGCATCTGCCACTACACCCAGCTAATTTTTGTATTTTTTAGTAGAGACAGGATTTCGCCATGTTGGCCAGGCTGCTCTTGAGCTCCTGATCTCAAGTGGAGCCACCGCTCACTATGCCTGGCCTTCAGCATGCTTTTGCTTGCTTAGGAACTACACTGCAAATCCCTTCCCTTTTGTTACTTTTGTTACTGCAAGTGGTTATAAACAAAGAACCTGAGCATTTTTGCCAGCTAATCAGATCCAGGGAGGCTGTACAGTTAGATTAAATTTGGCCATGCTCTTCTTCCTTTCTCAAGTGACATCTTTTCCTGTCATTCAATGTGAATAGAGAATGATTTTCTTGTCTTCTCTCACAAAGATTTGTTACCCATGTAAAATGCAAGCCTTTAACTTTGTAAAGAATTTCAAAGCATGTACAATAAACTCTGAAATTCTCTACCTGAAGGTCAGTCTTTGATCTCCAAAGAACAAAGAAGTCAGATTATTTTTATTTTTCCAATTTATCTACCTTCTGCAGAAATTTTTAACAATCTTGCACAAAAAGTAAAATGTTCTTGGGCCAGGCACAGTGGCTGAAGCCTGTAATCTCAGCACTTTGGGAGGCCAAGGCAGGTGGATCACGAGGTCAGGAATTCAAGACCAGCTTGGCCAAGATGGTGAAACACCGTCTCTACTAAAAATACAAAAATTAGCTGGATGTGGTAGCACACCTGTAATTCCAACTACCCGGGAGGCTGAGGCAGGAGAATCGCTTGAACCTGAGAGGCAGAGGTTGCAGTGAGCCAAGATCGCGACACTGCAATCCATCCTGGGCGACAGTGTGAGACTCCATCTCAAAAAAAAAAAAAAAAAGTAAAATGTTCTTACCATTTCTACATAATCAGTACAAGGCAGAATTTCACATATACTTTGACACTGAAAAGAGCACCTTAGGGACCCTTTTTTTTTTTTTTGGCTCACTGCAACCTCCGCCTCCTGGGTTCCAGTGATTCTTGTGCCTCAGCCTTCCAAGTAGGTGGGTCTACAGGTGTGCACCACCATGCCCAGCTAATTTTTATATTTTTAGTAGAGATGGCGTTTCTCAGTGTTGGCCACATTGGTCTCAAACTCCTGATCTGCCCACCTCAGCCTCCCAGAGTGCTGGGATTACAGGTGTGAGCCATTACACCCAGCCAGTTTAGGGAACTTTTAATAATCTTTCTCTAAGACCGTGTTTTACTGTTAGTCCTCCAAAATGAACAGCATCATATCACTTTTAACATAACTATTTATACATGCTTGGCAAAAAAACAGAAACAAAACAATTTAAATTGTATAAGTAATTTTGCATGCTATTACAGACAGTGAGTGTGTATCTCATTGAAGGTGAGATGGGAAGTTTGAATCTGCTGTTCTCATAGTGTGAGCAGCTCACCATCCTGATTATTTAAAACATTAGTTTTTAAAATGTATGGCTTTAGCTACTTCACCTAGTGATCCATCCATAAATGGCTATCTGATCCACACTGCCTTTGTTGGACTTATTGGCAGGGTCTGTTCCCAAAATAGTTCCTTCCTATACAACAGTGGTCTCTGTTTTGGCACTAGGGGTGGGTTCCATGAAAGAAGACAATTTGTCCTAGGACAGGGAAGGGGGCGGGGGATGGTTTTGGCATGAAACTGTTCCACTTCAGATCATCAGGCATTAGATTCTTATAAGGAGCATACAACCTACATATCTTGCATGTACCATTCACCATAGGAGTCACGCTCCTATGAGACTCTAATGCAGCTGATCTGAATGTCATGCCCCTGATCTGACAGGAGGTGGAGCTCAGGCCCTAACACTCTCCTGCTGCTCACCTCCTGCTCTGCTGCCTGGCTCCTGACAGGCCATGGACTGGTACAGGTCCCTGGCCTGGAGGTTAGGGACCCCCAATATAGAATTTCCGGGGAGTGACGTTAACTATGCAAGTTTGCCTTATAAACTGACTTCAGAACCCTCCACTCTACCTACCACCCTTGAGAAATGGCTGCATTGTAAGGCTTCAGTCAAAGAACATGCAGCCAGCTTGTGAGGCGGTAACTCACTTGAAGGATTTTTAATCCCAAAATAATGTGTTACTTAACATTTTTCAGGGCTCATCAGTTACAATTTAAAGATTTCAAATGTATTTGAATATTAACCTAAACCTAGAAAGTTTTCTAGAAAAAGGACGAATATTGAGTATAGTCCAAATAAAAAGTTAAATGTAATTTGGATTCTACTTGTGAAGAAAATCTTTATTGATCACCTTTAAGTGGAACTGTTATTTTTAATGCCATCTTTATTACTGTGGTTTTTCTTGGTAGTTTTGATGTCATTGCCTTTTTGATTTTGCTGATAACTGGTTTATTTCTCTTATGTGGTGACACCCCTTACCAAAGTAAGGGGTGTTTAATTATATTGTACCAAATTTGACTTAATTGTACATTTATTTTCAGTTGGATACCAGGGCAAGATTCAGAGGAAGAAAAGGATATTGATACATTCTGTTGAAGCCAAGATGAAAAACAACAAAGGGTTTTCTCTGGTCATTAACACAAAGAAGCCAAAACAGGAAACATACTTTTTACTACATCTGTTTGGTTGGACTCGTTTTCCCCTTCATGGCACAGTGAAGAAAACGGATGAGTTCTGTTTTTGAATATGTATAAATGATTCTCTTGATCCAAATTATTTTTAGAAGAAAAACCTAATTGAACAGTTATGGCTTAAGAGCATAATAAATGTGTTTTGAGAATTGTTCTAAAGCACAGAGAATGGAAAGATTGTTATTTGCAAACTTGACTCTTCAAATTACACAATTTGCACTGGCAATTGATGTGACTGACACAGTTGGTAACATGGAGCCTGTCCCAAAGATGTCTATTGGGAAAGTTTAGGATAAAACTTTTTCTTTAGTTCAGTCTTTCCTGTCTAGTTGTGAAATAAATTGTGTGTGTTTGATTTCTTAGAGAAGAAATACTTCATTTGTGCTCTGATTCACTGAAGTAATAACCTCAGCACTTAACAGGCGTAGCTGACGCTGGGCCTCAGATTGTGCTGCCCAGGCTCTTTACCATCATCTTCGGACTGTTTTTGTTTCCTGGATTCATTTTCAGGCTGGCGCTCTCTACATTCGGGCCAGTGTCAGCTACAAGTCCACATCCTTATAATCCATGATTCAAAAGGGAGAGAGAGAACTTCCTTTTCCCGGGTCCACAAATCAAATCCTATAAAGGGGCTTGATTATAGTCACCTGCACTTGCATTAGACCAGTCCCTGTGGAAAAGGGGATGTGGGCCTGTGATCTTGGCCAGGCCTGGGCTACATGCGCTGTCATTGTTAACTCCTGTCAGAATCACATGGATTAGTGGGCCAAATCCCAAAAGGAAAGGGGTTTAGAGCAAGTGGAAACAACAGATACCCACTATAGAAAGCAAGAATGAAAACCATGAAGCGGGTGAAGATTAGCCTTACAGTGATTTTATTCTGATCACTTAATACAGAGTCAAACAGGAATCCAGGTTTCCAAGTTTCTGGCATTGAGGAATCACAAAGAATGCTAGCTTCTTTATACCTCCATGGTTCACTGGAGTTAAAGCAATCAGGGTGTTGTACAGCTGACTTGAGTTTTTAAAGGTTTTACTAAAAAGTGAGAATTCCACACCCGCATGACTTATTGTTGCAGAATATCACAAAGGTCTGTTGTGTGTACTACTTTTCACTGGGAAAGGAACAATAATGGTTTTTCCCACTGTATACATATTCAAGTGATATAACTTTTTATTAATAAAATTAAATAAGAAACTCTAAAATATATATTATAAAGCCCTGTCATCTTTGTTGTTTAGTAACAGGTTTATTGAGCTTTACTTGGAGAAATACACGTACCATAAAATTCACCCTGAAACTTACCAATTCAGTGGTTTTTATTACATCTACAGAGTTGTGCAACCATCACCACTAATTCCAGAACATTTGCATCACTCCAGAGAGCAACCTGTACCCATTAGCAGTCACTTCTCTTCCCCTTCAGCCTCTAAAAGCCACTAATACACTTTTTATGTAATATGTAGACTTTTGTGACTGGCTTCTTTCACTTACCATGTTTTCAAGGCTCATCCACATATAGAATTTATCTGTGCTTCATTACCTTTTATTTGTGAATAATACTCCATAGTATAGATGTACCACATTTACCCACTCATCAGTTGGCAGACTTTGGTGTGCTTCCACTTTTGGGCTGTTATGACTAATGCTATGAACAATGGTGAACAAATTTTGCATGGACATATGTTTCCCTAAGAGTGGAATTACAGGGTCATATAATTCAAACTTTTTTTTTTTTTTTTTTTTTGAGACAGGGTCTCTGCTGTCACCCAGAGTGCAGTAGCATGATCACAGCTCTGGAACCTCACCTCCCAGGCTCCTCCTAACAGCCTCCTGAGTAGCTGGGACCACAGTTGTATCCCACCACACCCGGCTAATTGTTTTGTCCCCATGTTGCCCAGGCTGGTCTCAAACTCCTGGACTCAGGTGATCCTCACACCTCGGTCTCCCAAAGTGCTGGGATTACAGGTGTGGGCCACTGTTCCCAGCCCAACTTGAACATTTTGATGAACTGCCGAAATTTTCCACTATAGCTGTACCATTTTACATTTCTACCAACAATCTTTGAGGGTTCCAATTTCTCCACATCACCAGCAATTATTGTTCATCTGCTTGATTACAGCCATGGTTAATGATGTTTGAGCATGTTTTCATGTGCTTATTGGCCATTTGTATGTCTTTGGAGAAATGTCTATTCAAGTCCTTAGTCCAGTTTCCAGTTCGGTTCTTTTTACTGTTGTAACAGTTCATGTTTTGTAGATACAAGTAAACTAAAGATAAGTGATTCACAAATTCTCCCAATTTGGGGTTTTTCACTTTCTTCATGGTATCCTTTGAAGTATAATTTCTAATTTTGGCTAATTACAATTTATTTTTGTTTTTTGCTACATCTAAGAAACTACTGCCTAATCTCAGCTTTATTTTATCTTCATTCAAAAGTTTTATAATTTTACCTCTTACATGTAAGTCTGTGATTCATTTTAAAAATAATTTTTCATGACTTTATTTGCAATATTTAAAAAATTTTAATTGTGGCAAAGTACATACAAAATTTCCTATCTTAACCATTTTTAGTGTGCAGTTCAAAAGTGTTGAGTGCATTCACAATTATGCAACCAATCTCCAGAACTCCCCTTTACCCCCAGAACCCCTCCCCCTCTCTACCCTGACAGTCACCATTCTACTTTATGTCTCTATGAACTTTATTACCATAAGTGTTGTCTTTAACTGGCATATTTCATTTAGCATATGTCCTCAAGGTTCATGTTGTAGTATGTATCAAAATTTCCTTCCTTTTTAAGGCCAAATAATATTCAATTGCACATATACAGCACATTTTGTTTATCTGCTCATCTGTCAATGGACACTTGGGTTGCTTGTATCTTTGGGTAACTGTAAATAATGCTGCTGTGAACATGGGTTACAGATATCTCTGAGACCCTGCTTTCAGTTCTTGTGGGTATATACACACAAGTGGAATTGCTGGATCACATAGTTATTCTGTGTTTTTGAGTATCAGTCATACAGTTTTCCACAGCAGCCTAACAGTCTACAGTAACAGCACACAAGGATTTCAATTTTTCCACATTCTTGCCTATATTTGTTATTTTCTGGTTTTCTGTTTGTTTTAAATAGTGGCCATCCTAATAGGTGTGAAATATCTCACTGTGATTTTATTTTGCATCTCCCTAATGATTAGTGATGCTAAACATAATTTCATGTACTTGTTGGCTATCTGTATATCTCTTTGGAAAGACGTCTCAAGTCATTTTGAATGAGTTAAATCATTCAAATGGGTTAAATCAATTTCAGTCCCTTAAAATGGTTAAGGTGGTAGATGGGTATTAAATAATAGGTTGTTTGCTCTTTTGTTGTTGAGTTGAAGTTATCTGTATATTCTAGACGTTAACCTGTTATCAAATACGTGATCTGCAAATATTTTCTCCCATTCTGCAGGCTGCCTTTTCATGTTGTTGTTGACTGGGCTTTTGGTATCATACCCAAGTCACCGCCGACTACATTGAAGCTTCTCCCATTTTTTTCTTCTAGGAGTCAGAGTTTTGGCTTTTAGATTATGTCTTTGACCTATTTTGAATTAACTTTTGTCTATGGTGTGAGGATACAGCTTCACTTTTTTGCCTAAGGATAGCTGGTTTTCCCAACACCATTTGTCAAAAAGATGTTCTTTCCCAATCAAATGTCTTGGCATCCTATGGAAAACCATTTGACTATATATGCTGGGGTTTATTTCTGGGCATGCTAGTCTGTTCTGTAGTTCTGTCTGTGTTTATGCCAGTGCCACATTATTTTGATTACTGTAGCTCTGTAATAAGCTTTGAAATCAGAAGTATGTGACCTCCAGCTTTGTTCTTTTTCAGGATTGTTTTGACTATTTGGGGTTCCTTGAGATTTGGTGTAAGTCTTAGGATGGGTTTTTCTATTTCCGGAAAAAAAAAATCAGTTGGGAATTTGATGGGGGGGTACACTGAATCTGTAGATCACTTTTGTTAGCACTGTCATCTTAATATTAGGTATTTTAATCCATGTACACAATATATCTTTCCATTTATTGGTGTCCTTAATTTCTTTTCAGCAAAATTTTGTAGTTTTAAATATACAAGACTTTTGCCTCCTTTTTGATGCTACTGTACATATAACTGTTTCCTTAATTTCCTCTGGAGAGTCTTCAACAATAGTGAGTTTTAACATTTAATTTTTACTGTTAAACATAACCAGTATACTGAAAAGTGAATAGGATATTTGTATGTTAAGAACCAAGTAATCGGTCCTGTACTTGGCCATCCACATCAAGATAACATTGCCTGAACCCCCTCTAATTTTAGCCTTTTTTCAGAGACGCTTGCACTTGCCCCTTTACCATTTTAAGGTAAAGGTAAATGGTAAAGGGGCATTTACCACTTTACCTTTACCACTCTGTGGTTTGCCTTCTCCTTTGACCTTCTGAATTTGGCTCCTTGTGATGTGTTTAGCCTAACTGATTATATAGAGAAAAGTAGTGTGGCCCAGTGCGGAATAAGGATTTCAGTTGAACACTACAAAACCACCATTCATTCATCTGTTTATTTAACAAACTTTAGCTCCTTCACAGCAAGAATTATACTTGCTCTTATGACTACAGAGGGGACTGACACAGTGGACAGGATATGCATGATAGAATCGTCACAGTCAACACTGAAGGAGAAGAACTTTTTTGCAAGGGCCAAATTCATTTGTGGGGAGAAATCACCATAGAGGAAGGTGTAACTGAGACCAGCCTTACAGGAGGGTAAGGATGCTCAGGAGAGGTCTAGACCTGAGGGGACTGACAAAGACCAGGCCTGTAGGCGCATGGGTTGAAATTATGGGATGGTTATCAAGAGATACAGGTCTCAGTGGCTGATGGGATGTTGGGGAGAAAGTGAGCCCAAAGTCGTCTATTAAGAGGGAGACTCAGCTTGGAGGAGGAGAGGCATCAGCACACTGTTTGAGATGCCTGCAAGACAGGCAAAATGACGGGCACAGTGCTTGGATGTGTAGCTAATCTGGACCCTGGGGGAGACTCTGGGATGGACCTAGAAGCTTAGGAGTCACTATCATATAAGTGACCATTTATTCAACAGGAATGTGTAAGATTTTTCAGGAAGAGCATCTTAACTGAGAAAGTTATGGACACAACCCAGGAGAACAGCATACCGTTAGTGGCAAGTGGTGGGCGACAGCAAACCTTAGAGTGAGGAGGGATGGTCAGAGACATAGGAGAACCAGGATAGAGTCAGGCCACAGACCCCAAGGGAGGGCCAGGTGTCAAGGAGGAGGCAGTGAAGTGCAGTGTATATCTATATCCATCTAACACAGGCATCTCTTCGGAGCCATGGAGACAGAAGTGTGTTTCCTACCCTGTCTTCTCAGCTTTTTCTGTTACGTGGGACAAGAGAGTGTGAAAGACCTGCCTGGACTGGCCTGCAAGGCCAACGGTGGCCTGGTGCAGGAAGAAGTCATGGCAGGAAGAAGACAGGGATCTAGAAAGTATGGGTGTTCTGAGCCTATACCCTGGAAGCCCTGTCATAGCCTGGAGAGCAATAGCTAATAAAAACCAAGACCAAGCTACTCTGTTTGCCTACTGTTGGCACAGGATGGCGGGGGGGGCATTGTATGGAGGGCACAGCCTCAGGCTGGAGAAGCTTCCCTGGTGCCCCTGGCAAGGAAGGGAGTGCCTGTGCAGGCCAACTCACAAGATCCCACTACACTGCAGAGCGTGGTGAAGGCCCCACCAGCTCTCCCTACTTAAAAGTTACCATTTGGCCACCAGACAAATTGTAGACTGGTCCTGGGGCTGATGTCCACTGTGCTGGTTGGTACCCATACCCACGGTTAGTGTTGGCAAGGCATCAGGAGGTCAGTTGCAGCCAGGGCCCCTATTGGGAGCAGAGATCTGCTAAACACAAGTTTCCATCTCTACAACCCACCTCTCTCTCTGCCAGAGACTGAGCTGCTGGTGCTCACAGGAATGAAATATCTTTTTGGTCAGCATACACCTCTCAGAAAGGGATGCTATTCTGCTTTTGTTCCTGCCTTCCTGATTTCAAATACTGGATTTTATCCACTGTAAATTCAATTACTTCCTACTTTTGAAAATACTCAGAGTCTCTGAGAAAAGAGTACTTTAAAAAGTGTAAAACCATCAGGGATCTGAATAAGCCAGCTCTGCCCCTCTTTGGAGGCCCTCATGGGTAGCCTGGGACCAGGTCAGGCAGACTGAGCTGTTTCCTGCCACTCACTTCTCTCCAACCTGCCTTGACCCCCTTGGTTCTATCATCACTGCCATCCCTGCAGGCTCCACAGGGAACTTGTGCTTCTGGGCTGGGGTTCTGTGCACAGCAGAGCAGTGCCCTCTCTACGACTTATGGAAAACCAGCTCTTAAGAGGGCTTGTATAGGAGGACATTTTGGGGAAAAAGTGACAAGAAAAAGACTTTGTCTGTCTTCAAATGCAGACTTCTGTGAGGGCCTGCCTGCCAGAAGGAAGTGCTGGTCTTGGAAGAGCCATCCCAGGAGCACGATGGGACATGAGGCCAGTTCCTTCTGTCCATGTGTTCCCAACACCCCTACACACAGAACAGCTCTTCTCCCCCAGGCCTGAGAAAAGAGAAATGCTGGCAGCCCTTTAGAGTGACCAGAGGTCACACTGCCTGCTCAGAGAGATCCATTGCTCATTACCACAACATGAACAACACTCGATGCTGCTGAGGATACTGTGAGAAGCCTCTATTAAAAAATGGTGCCAACCTGCTGTGTGATGTTGGTAAAGAATAGAGAAAGGTTACCCAGTAGAACTACAATGAAGTAATGTCCCCCCACCAGCTTATCATTTCTGTTCTCTAAAAAATCACAAAGAGAAGCTCCAACCCCTCTTACCTTCCTCTGGTGCAAAGCCTCCCTGAGACAACTCCCCTATATCTAGGCAGCCAGACGGTGCCAAGTCATCTACTAAGCAGAGGCTCAACAGGAAACCAAAGCACAGTGCCCAAATGTGCGGAGGGAGGGCAGGAAGAAGCTCACTGTGGCTGATGTCTGGGTGTCCTGACATGTCTTCTCCTTGGCTTAACTTTAAAGAGAAGCAAAATTACGCCTGGCCTTGAGGGATTCCCTCTGACCTTAGCAAACTCTAAGCACGACACAGGACTTACACCTAGATGATTCCAGAGGGACTGATCTAAATGTAGGATGAAACCATAAAAAAACTAGAAATAAGAATAGGTAAATGCTGAAAACATAATCCTGGGACATGAATGTGAAGGCAGAAACTATTAATAATATTAAACTGAGCAGAGCCCATGCACCAAGCAAGGTGCCAGTGAGCACTTCGGTCCAGCCCCTCATCATGCACACGCAGCCATATCACCGTGCCCACAAGGACTTGGCTGCCCCATATGTGCCACCTTCTGTGGTGAAGCCAGGACTCAATTTCAGAACAAGCATCAAAATGAAAGACAGGTGTACGTGACTACATAAATATTTGAAATATTGTATACCCCCTACCACAGACGAAAGGACAGCTGACAAATAGGTTAAAAAGTGTGCAACATATGACATGGGTTAATACATTATATGTTAGTAACAATCTATATGAAAAAGACCAACTCTCCAATGAAGTCACAAAAACAGAAATATCATAAAGGTATAAAAGATGTTCAGTGTTCACAGTAATCAGGGAAATGGACACTGAACTGAGGTGCATTGGCCCCAATGATAATAAAGGGAAAAGGCATGTTACCGGTGGCAGCTTAAATTTCTGGGAGTTTGACAATACTAAAAACTCCAAGAGTTAAACAATTCAATCATCCTGTAATTGTACATTTCCAGTGAGGGGAATTTTTCCAAGGGAGATCATGGGTCATGTATGCCTAGAAGGCAAAATAGTGATGCAAGGGGCAGTCCTGGTGATGATGAACAGTGCCAATATTAATACAAGTGGAACTGCATTTTGGCAAGTCATATGACGAGGACTGGGCTACCCACAGAGATGATGTGATCCATGCTCACAGACGGGAAGGTAACAACAATGGCTACCATTTACAAACACTTACTTCCGAGAAGCGTCGCACGTACCTCATGAGGAAGGTAACGCTGTTATCCACACTTTGCACACGAGGACATGGAGTCTTGGAGAGGTTAAGCAACTTGCTCAGAGTCACCAGCAGTGAGGGGCAGAACCAAGATTGGGACCTGTGTCTGTGTGCCCCCAAAGTCCATGCTTTTAACTTCAACCCTGCTGCCCCTCTGCTTCAAATTAGTTAGAAACAAGCATATAAAACAGAAGTCTCCCATGGTCCCATGTTTACAAACATATGCATTCAGTACCTGAGCACTCAACACAATGCCCAACAACAATGGTCCAGTCATAGGCTGGTCACATAGAACTAGTCCTCCTAATAGGATGAATCAGTCAAGGCCAAATTTAATATCTTGTCAGTTATTTATTATTTGTCATTCTAAAGACTAGCACATTTACAGCATACATGGCTTCGAATGACCTAAGAATATATAAAACAGTAACTGTACGTTTATATATATATATTAATACTGCCCGAAACAAATAAATAAAGGTATCATAATGCACTAAGCTTGGCAAATACAATTGTGTAGGGACAAAACTGTATTATACAATATTTTTACATCTTTAAATGAAACTAAAGGCAACTGTGCTCTGTAGGAGCTCTGACAGAATCCACATTACATTCCCAGTTTTCCATAGATCTCATTTCTTTTTAAATGGGGAGGCTTTATAAGGAACATTGGACGGAACCTCTATCCTACGGTAACTTGTAAAACTGTCCTCCCTGCACATCTGAAAACTCAAAGCTCCTACAGAAGAGAGGAGCTACTTGCCTCCAAGGCTGTGTAACACACTCTCATCCTGCAAGCGCCGGAAGTGTGATGCCACCAGAAGCCCAGTAACAATGCCTTCAGAGAGAATACTGAAACCTGAACCTTTTCTACATGATTTGCCAAGTCTTACAGTTTTATGGTGACCCATAAAGCAAAAATTGGGAAAATAATTCATATAAAGGTGCCACATGCAAAACTCCTGACAGATGATCAACATTTGCTATATTCCCTTTGATAAGTGCAGATATTTAATGTTCTTCAGACAAAAAATATCTGAAAACTATGTGGGTAATATTGATTTTTTTAAAAAGCAAGGAGATTTTTTAAAAGTTATAATGAGAAAATATGGAACTAAAAATTTACAAATTAAATGAGGTGGTGGAGAGGTGAAAGGCCAAATCAGCCATATTGAAAACGAACTGTCTGTGAACAGAGACTGACTCTTAAAAAGGAGAATGTGACACCAGCAGCAGCCACCTGTGCAGTGGGTTTGGTGGGCAGGAGTTTCTCTGCCTCCTGCCTGCCATAGTGAACCAGCTTTGAGGGAGCAGCTGAGAGCTGCATCCTTGTTAAAGTGTCCTCCACAGACATTTTCCTCCCTGCAAGCACCAGGAAACAGCAGGCTTTGCTTGCATGCTGACTTCTGAGTAGGAGGGGATCTGGAAGGTCACCCAGTTCTACCCGTACCTGATGCCCACCCCCTCTGTGTTCCTGCCAATAAGTAGTCCTCCCCATGCTTAGCACCCCTGGCCCAAGTTTGTTACATGTTTCTAAAGAAACCAGAAGAATCTGTAGGCTTTTAGACATAAGAATTTCTAAGAGGTTCACAAATCATTAGGATCAGCATCATTAATATATGCCATATAGATTTCTTTTACAACCTTTTCAAGAACATGTAAACATCATAAACAGAATCAATAAAACATATAAACTCCTAAGAAAAAAACTCTGCTATGTGCAGATAAGACTCATCATCATCTTATAAAAGATGACCAGACAAAATTTTATATGAAATTCCTAAGTTTTATGGCCCATAAATCTCTTTCAAAATCTCATTTAAGGAGATAATTTCAACTGTTGCTCAATAGTCATCTTATATAACGGAACGAGAATAAGAAAGTAACAATTATTGCAAACCTAAAAATAAGACACTTTTATCAGACATTCAAACATGATTGTACTGTTTTTTAGAAGAAGATATATTGGAAATCCTCCAAGAAAATTCTTTTCTGTAAATATTTAGGTTTCTACTATCTCTATGGTCATCAACTCCCCATGAGTGTGTGACATGCCACATCTGAAGCCCTGGATTCACATCTAGAGAAGAAAGGGAGATGTGCCCTGTGCGCATGGGAGAGCCTAGACAGGGAGCTTCTGAGAACAGGAGACAGGCTAAAGGGACCTTAGTGCTGGCTTTGTGTCTCCAAGCAGACTCCCAGTTCTCTAACTCATGAGGGACAAAAAAAAGAGTGGCCCCAACTGTGTGGGCTACCTTGGAGATGTTACTTTCTAATAAAGTCTTATCTCCAGTTAATTTATCAATCTTTCTTTCAACTTCTTCAGGTGGTGCTGTAAATAGGATAATTCACTAGAACCCTTTATTCTCACTGTATGAGATAGTGCTAGCTTCTTTCCCCAGATAACATTTAACATTTATTGGTCTGCCTAGGATCCAATTATTTATTATTTACTGTTTTACATTCATACTTGTACAAAGTGGATTGTAATTCAATGGTCACTTTTGAGTTACTCTGCAGAAAAATAAGTGAGCAAGTTGGCATTTTGATTCATATAGATCTGTGTAGTTACAGCCAAAGGCTATTTAAATGGGCAGTTGTTACTATCCACATTATTGAGCCAAACATTACCTCCTATTGATTCCAATGGTAAAAAAAAAAAAAAAAAAAAAAAAACCCAAAACCAAAAAACATGCTCCATAGATTCTTAAGTGAATTTAAAAACAAAAACAAAAACAAAACAAAAAATAAAAACCAATCTTTCAGGTCTTCTTGAAGAAGTCATATATGACACTAGAGGGTACCCACATTTATTATGTAACAGCTAATTAGAGGAAACCGTGTGTTCACGTTTCAACTTTTCCGTAAGTCCCTTCGGGAGGCCTGTAATGCTTGGGGAAAGCCTTCAGCTGCAGGGAATTAAATGCATATTTGCGACTTCCAACATTCTTCATTGTATTTTCTCTTCGACAACCCTCACTGGGGAAAAAACAAGCACAAGAAATGACAGCAGTAAAAAAGGAAAAAAGAAAAGACTTAAACTAAGATGAAATGAACTGATTATTTTCATAACATTAAAAAAAAGATTAATTTAAATGGGTGCTGGACTCATTTACAACAAATACATACGTAAAATGGCAGGTTTCTGAACAAGGCAATTAAGAAGCACAGAGATGGACACATGCTGCATGGGGCTGTGAGTTGTGCATTCCTAGAAGCAGCACTGTATCTAAGTAGAAGCAAACTTTTTAAAAGTGAATGAATGACTTCATGTAGCTCATGTCTAAGTCATTTGGGGTTCTATCATAACTTGTGGTTCAAAGGTTATCTTACATAGCAAATTAAGCGGAAAGAGAAACATTACTACTCTTACTAAAGCTGCACTTTAGTAAGCTTTAACGAGCTGCACTTTTCTATATTAGCAAGAGCTGTAATCACATTGAAATTCAAAATGTTGACTTTCCTTGCAGAATTCAACATGTAGCAAAGGCATGTGGCTGGGAAGGCTGTTCCGATCTGCTGTCTCCTGGAGGACAGTTGTTCTGGGTGCCAGGTAATCCAATGGGCTCATGCACTGTCTGCAGACCAGCCTGGCAATCAGGGCTGGAATGTCATGAAGGAGGGATCTCACCGAGATCTGGTAGCAGCCAGCAGCCATTCCACAGGTGGGCTGCCCTCACGTGTTCCCTCTTGCACAAGTGCCACTGAGCCAATGAGAGCCCACAGGTATCCTTCCCTAGAGAACTCACTACCAGCATAATCCCCAGCTGCATTTGATGGAGGGTTGCCATGGCAATCCGGGAGGGAGGCAAAAACAAACGCTGCATGGGAGGATGAGTAGCCAGGTGTCGTCACCTGCTTAGTGAGTGCATCGGGGGAGTTCTCTGGGAAATGTTCAGGTGTAGACATAAAACTAATTGGCAAAAGTGACTTTATACATAAATGACTTCCCACAGCACAGTATAACTTGATAGTTGTATACTGTTCTAAGACTAGCAATGAAATCAACTAGTTATCAAATTTAGTACAAAATTCCCTTTATGAGATGCAAAAATTTGCAGTTAGCAAGAAACAGTGATTTTTTAAAAAATTCAAATTGTATGAAGATCATTATGTCATGCACTTTAAAAAAATATCAGTGGCAATTGCTCAAGCCTTTTAAAGTGAAAATGACAGTCTCATCAAGAACATGTAAAATACTTTTGGTAAGACAGTAATTTTTATTCAAAAGCTAAGCTCTGATAGTTTAGAAAAGTATCCACCTGGTTGTTATAACTAATTTGGTAACTTGGATATGCTTTCTTGTCACAGAGCCTCAAGGCCTCAGCTGAGCTGAACACCCATGCCACAGGAGCAGGTCCCCTGGAGTAACAATCATGTTTGCCTAACATTCAGTAATCAAAAATGGACTTCCACTTAAAGCAGAAGCTATAGGTTCCTATGCACAGTTAATCTCCTTTAATCTTTGGAAACTCTTACATTAATGAACTACTTCAGATATGGCTTCTCCATTTATATAGAAATGTACAAAGTCCTTAAAAACCACCTATCACTAGTAAACGCTAAACTGCTGTGAGGAGCGAGGCAGAATAATTTGTGAACTTTGTTTGACATTATCTTTTATTTACATCTTAAAGGACCTAATGCCTAGTTTAGTTAGCTGAACACATTAGACATGAAGTTATAATAAAGATTGTACTTCCATTTCAACGTAGTTTTCAAATCAGATTTTATTTTCTTTCCCAAAAATGCCTGAATTTACATAATCTGGCTGGTGCGGCTGATCCACATGCCGACACTGTCATCCCACTGCCTGTGCCGACAAGCTGGCAAGAGGGCCTGGGACGAGGTATGCAGAGGTGGTGAGGATGGCCTGTGTTAACTGGGGCTTCCCGCCGCAGAGGCCAGCCTGCTGCCCTAAGGCAGAACACCTCCACTGATCACACTGGCTGCGTACTTTTTAGGAGTCAATGGCACCTGTAGAGAAGGTCTTAGATTTTAGCAAGAGGGACTTATTTGTTTCAAAACTCCATGATTACTTTTACTATATCAATAAATTATTTCTTTTCAAGGGCATCCATTTTTGAAATTAAGATTAAAATGGAAACCCCAAATGACAGATAATTTTAGGGAATCCTCTAGTTTGCCAGTTCCAGTGGGATTTTCCATTTTAGAACTCATCTGCAGGCATCAGTATCTTGGTGATTCTATGGCATGGGGTAGTGGCTGCTACTCCTGTCACTTTGTGGAGGGAGAATAGGCCACTGTGTTAAAATCTCTGCTGGAATCAAGCCTTAGGCATAAATGGTGACTGTCACACTAGTTGAAAAAACTTATACAACAATTTTATAAGATCATTCAAAGAGAACGACTCCTGATTATGGTTTCCCTAACTTGAGAAAGCTGGTTTAATCCTGAACACCTAGAGCTGGTACCAACAATGCCTCAGCACTACTTCTGTACATGCAGCTATAACCATCACTAAATGTCAATGACCCCTTTCTTGAATCATCTCCCCCAGCCTCTGTTTCATCCTGCCTATCTCTCACTAAAGTAGGTAAGATTTTGAAAATGTATTTGGCCTGATTTCATGAGTAAAAGCCCTTGGTGACATTAAAATTCAGTATAAAGAGAGAGCAACTGAGTTTCTTTTCTCAAAATACTTAAGTTTTAAAAAGCCCAAACCAAACCACCGCCTAGGCTAATCTCATGGTGTCCTTTTGACAGCTCTCCAACTGCACAGGCAGCATACTGATTTTCACCCAGCCCCTGGAGGAGAGAAACAAAGAACTTTATCTTTCTCCCTTTGGTCTCATTTCTCTCTCAGCCCAAGGGCTAAGTCCACATGGCCAGAAAGATGTGGTGACAATCAAGGATCAGGCCGTGGTGTCCTTGAGGCCCCCTGGGAGTGGCTCCTCAGCTGGCCACAGCTTCTCTGTGCTATGGGGCAGGGTCCTGGGAGGGGCCCCTGGAGGGTGCCACAGAAGCATCCTTGAGCCTTGGGACAGGGAGGAATGCTGTCTGCAGTCAGAGGGCCTCCCTCTGTGCATGGCCTCTGCCTAGCCACTAGCCCTGCCGTGGAGGTGGGAGTGAGCACCAGTCACCACTGCAGGCAGTGGAACAACACTACCAGTGGCAGGACGTGGAAGCTGTGTAATGGAAGCTGAATGAGGCTGTGGACTCTGCTTTCTCACTTTCAAATAAAGCAAACAAGATGGTATTAGTTGAAGTGCATGCCTCAATGTGAAAGAGGGAAAGTGGCAAACATACCTTTCAAATAATCACAGGCTGGACAGGACACTAAGGACAGTAGCCCACGGACTACTGTCATGCTGCCACAGCTTACACCACCCATGAGCTGGCATTTGGTGAGAGACTCCCTACTGAAGGATGCCAAGAGCTATGCCGTAACAGCCATCTCATTTATTTTAGAAGAGACAAGTGAACATGCTGCACTTGGAGAGGTGTGGATTCACCTACGGGGTGACACACAGGTGACACCTGCCCCAGGCAGCCTGCATTGCTCAGGATGGTCTTCCACTTTAGAATGTAAAGTGTTGAGTCTAGCATTTGCCATTCGTTGCTAACTGCTTCTATGATTCTTAGTACCCAGACTCTGAGCTGATACCAAATGAGAGAAAGCCAGACTCTGAGCTGAAACCAAACGAGAGAAAGCTCAGAGTAAGGTCTGGAGTCCTGGAGAGAGAATGAAGAGAGGCCACCGCCTTTTGTGGTGGATTGGGTTTCTGGGCATGCATGGGTGCCAAGTTTCTGGAAAAGCAAGCCTCTCTAAATTCATTTCCATTTTTCTGGACTGGTTTAAAAAAATCCTCTTCATAAACTACAGTGTATGAGGAACGAACTGAAGACAGAAAGTGGGGGCACAATATAATATGAACTGTAAGACAGAGAAGCCGCTGACTGTCCTGCACAGGGTGTGGGGATTTTTTCCTTATTTATTTGGTTACCTTTACAGGTGTCCAATAACCCTCTGCCCCACATGGGTGTTAAGGTTACACTTCATCGCATTGCAGGGCATGCCACATTAGGACTGAAGGGCACCAGCAGAAACCAGAGCACCCCGTTGCTCTCACAGCTCTATCCGTCACAACTGCCCAAAAGTCAAGGATCATTTTTTTTTTTGCAATTTCTCTTTCATTTTTTTTTCATTATCAACCATATTTGATTAGTAAGACAGAAAAGATGTTGGAACTTTAATCTGCAATTAAAGATACCATTTTTAAAATGAAAAATGCTGTTTTAAAATAAATAAAAAGATATAACTTTAACAGCCTTTGGTTACTATATGCATTAATCCCTAGAACCAGTTGCATGACCCTTGCAGAGTCAGATAGCCTATTGGTCTGTGTCTGACTTGGTAAAGTGTACTATTGAATTCACAGCTTTGTGTCATCCTTAATCAGAAATAATAAATATAAGCAAGGAAGTCTTAAGATTTTGCAAACTGTTTGCTACTGTAATTCAGGGACTACGCTTTGAAATGAAAGCAGAAAATACATGTCCTATTAGATAGGTTTATCTAGATGAGCCAGTTATAAAGCATCTATCTTTTTCTTCTCATTTGTCATCAAAAGGAAAGGAAGGGTTAGCAGTATACTTAAAGAATAGTATCAAATATACAAATTCTCTTCAAACAGAACTCCTTTTTTTTTGGAAACAGGGCACGTGAGAAGTACAGGTGATAGATAGTTGTACATCGGAAGGTAGAGACGTGGTAGAAGGAATTCCAGGCCAGCTAAACGATGCAGTGACAGGGCACCGTAAGAACATGTTACAAGCACTGAAGATGCTACAGGAGCTAAACAAACAAGTCCTCTTGGTGAAATAATTTGGCAGCTATTTACAGTTCAGAAGAACAAAACATCAAAATGTAAGGCATGAAATATCTCTTGGAAGACCACGCTTTGAAACATTCCTTCTGTCCAGTTAGGTACACGGCGGCTGGACATGTTCTGGCACTTTTGTTTTTCTTGTGACTTATTAATTTTTCATAATAATATTCATTTGCAACGCAATTTGGTCACCAGGTATGCTATGCTCAGAAAGAGCCACACAATCAGTAAATTGGGGCTCAGAGCTAATAAAGGAATGGAACAGAGGAGGCTGGGGTCTAGCCTTAAGTCTCGGATGGGCACCAGGCCGCTCAAGTTCTTCTGGGTGACTACCTCCCGTGTTCCAATGCTGTGAAAAGGAAAAAGTTTGGGAGAAAGAAAAAGAAAAAGGAAAGGAAAGAAAATAAAGAAAAAAAGAGAGAGACATGCGATGGATTTTATCAAAAAGTATGAGATAAAGGAGAGAACCAAAAGATAAGGTTAAAAAAAAAATGAAATGAAGCCACAATAGAAAGAAAAGATGAAATGCAGAAACGGGTATGAGAGGAAGACCAAAACAAAACCAGCACAGTTACAGGAAAAAAGGAGAGAAAGAGAAGTGAAAATAAGAAAAAATACTGCAATCTACTGAAAATAAACACATGTAGGTTGAACGAATGGTTTTCCATGTTCACTCTCTCGGCTGGCCAAGCACAACTCCATGCTGCCCGGCCATGCTCCCACATGCTGCACACACAGGGATTTCTGAGAAGCAAGCTGAACATGAAGAACCATTGGGGGTTTGACCTTCTCACAGATGCCTGAGCAGGGGGTGGCACAAAGGATTTGGCCAAAGCTGCCTCTTGATCACCCACACAAATGAAAACCATCTACCTCAGGTACCAACCAACCAGGTGCAGAGCCCTTACCAGCCCCACCTCGGGTTCTGGGCTCAGCAGTGGCAGGCATGAACGACTGCTGTCTCCATCTTTGCAAGTTATGGTTCTACGAGCATCCCCAAGGGTGGAATCCAACCAACACCACACTGAAAATTTGGGTCTTCTTCCCCCTTTTGGTGCTACAGAAAAACTGCACTGAGGTGAGATGGTACCTAGAGCTACACGACTCTGGAAGCACATTCATGTCCGCGGTGACACAGAATCGAGGCCTGAGGACACAGCAGGCAGCTTGTGAAGGGTCCACTCGGGAGATGGGGAGGCAGGAGGCCCAGGGTTCCTCTTCACACAGGGTCCTCCCCAGCTCTCCCGGAGGAGCCCCGAAGCCCTGATGGCCCTGCTGGAATGTGCCGTTCTGAGAGGGCACAATTCCCAAGCTGCGGAGCACTGACCCACTGCCACATTCCGTGCCAGGAGAGGCTGGTGGGGCCCTGTGGCTATTCAGCAAGGCCCACTTCAAGGGGTTCAGCCCCAGGACTGGGGACATGGACACCCCAGTGGCCGAGTATGTGAATCTCTTCCCAACTCCATGTTCAGTGGTACCACATTGGAAGCTTGAAACAGGCCCTGGTAGAAGTGTTTATGCCACAGAAATTGGCAAACATTACAGATCAGGGCTTTTGGAGAGACAGCTGGTAGCTGAACATTTACAGCATAGCACTGACCACTGTTCACCCTGGGCCTCCAGGCTAAAGCCTGGTGCCAGCTTGGCCCCCACTCCCTCACCCCCACCTGCATGCTCTACTCTTCCGTCTGATAAGACGCAAGCCAGAAAGCCAGGAACCAAATGTCCTCCTCCACTCACAGACATGATGGAGGTTTATGCTGCCTCCTGGAGCTCTCGTCTAAATTGCAGGTACTCTGCACCCCAGCAGCCAGCCCTGCTAGCTTGTGACTCAGCCACCTCGGCTTACAGCTGCCTAAATAGGTACATGTCTTTTCCTCATGGGATCATAGAGAAAACAGAAGTCACCTTAAAACAAATGCTGTGACAAGAGCCTCAGATCTTAAGGGTCGGCTCAAGGCAGCAGTGAGCTGTGTCCCCGGGGCTGGTGCGAGAATTCTGGGACAGGCAGAAGTAAAGTAGGATGGAGCTTTGTTTTTATAACTTCTTAAAAAATTATTAAAGTAAGACGTTTACTGTAGAGATTTCAGAAAATAAATATATAAGCAACTTAAAAAGACATCCATAATTGGAGTTAGGGGTGGGGTTTAGAGAGGCAGAGGGCGGTGTGGAGGGAATGGCGCCTGTTCCCGCAGAAGGAAGGGCCTTCCCTTTGCCAGGCCTCAGCGCCCTTACCAGTAATGTGGAGAAACAACAGTCTTTACAGCTTCAGAAACCTCCCAAGAGTAACAGGAAAGACAGCACCCGGCTCGGGCAGTGTCCTGAGCACTCTGGGACACTGGACAGGAGAGTGGCTACTGTGGGGACCATTTGGTGATCTGTACTAAAATTATTCAAAAACCTTACAAAGGTGTATACTTTTTAACCCAAGGCAATGTGGCTAGGAGAATATATAAAGATATTCACTGCACCTTTGATTAAAATGCTAGAAAACCATATACAGCTTAGATATTCAGTGACAGCAAATTGGATAAATTATAGTGTGTAAAAAATAGCTGGGTGTGGTGGCTCACTCCTGTAATCCCAGCACTATGGGAGGTGGATCACCTGAGGTCAGGAGTTTGAGACCAGCGTGGCCAACACGGCGAAACCCCTCTCTACTAAAAATACAAAAAATTAGCCAGGTATGGTGGCGGGTGCCTGTAATCCCAACTACTCAGGAGGCTGAGGCAGGAGTGCTTGAACTCGGGAGGCGGAGGTTGCAGCGAGCCAAGATCATACCACTGCACTCCAGCCTGGGTGAGAGAGCAAGACTCTGTCTCAAAAAAAAAAAAAAAAAATGTGATAAAGTCTACATTTATTAACCTAAAAAATGCTCACAAGACTGTTAATTGCAAATATAATTGCATTTGTTTGTGCACGTGGGTGTTTTTGTTCTGTGTAATTCAGGGACTGGTTAGACCATGTGTACGTACTCACACCCATATGCATGTACGCATGTCTCTGTCTCAGAGAGCACGTATCCGAATGTTAGCAGGGCTACCTATTCATAGTAGGAAGCTGGGGGATTCTGTGTGGGGAGGGTTGTGAAGAACTAGTGTAGGTGCTTATCTGTATTTTCTAATTTTCCTACAAGGATTTTCAATTCCTCACGTGTTTAAAAGTTATAAAAAGTGCTTTGTGCACTGTACATTTTAACAGTTGTAACTGTAATAGCTGTCCTGAGCACACAAACCAAATGGGCTAGGGGCAGGCAGGCAGGGCCCTGTGGGTCTGGGCTCAGTGACAGGCCTGCCATCATACTGGGGCTCTCCATGGAGCCTTTCTGTCCCTGGTCTCCTGAGGCCTTTGTGTTCAGAGGTGGTCAGAATGAATGTTTTCGCTGAACTTGTTCAACAGCCCAAGAACAGGGTAGAGGTCTCTGCATGGACTGTGTGCCTAACTTGGGGTGCCAGCTCCTGACTGGCCCTGATCCTGCTCCTTGTTGCCACAACCACAGGGATCCCTGTCCACTTTGTTTTCCTTTCTTCACTAGCAGCTCACCAAAGTGTCCCCTCCCACCACGGTGCAGCTAACGGGCACAGGCGCGGCCGCCGTCCCTCAGCACCAGGGTCACACTGGACATCAGGCCTGAAGGGCACCAAGGCTCTTGGAGAGCAGGCCCTTGCCCCAGGGCAGGGGTCTTTGAATCTCCATTGCTTCCCTGAGCCTGGGCAGAGGGATGGCAAGCTTTAACAGAGAAGTTGAGATGAATTTGGAAAGACAAAACAGGACAAAATGATTCCATTTTTACAAAATGCACTTATCAAGAGGCAGGAGCTCACACGTCGCTTTGTGCATTATTGTGAGAAGGTCAAACGGCAGAAACATACAGAAAGGATAAGAGAATTGAACACTTTAAATAATTTGGTGAGAGGACAAATGATACAGAACATTCAGTAGAAGTGACCGTTGGAAACGAGACTTTAACAGCATTGGTGACTACATCGAAGGAGACGGGAAACCAGGTTTCTTATCCTTTCTTTTGGTATGTGAGGAAGGGGGCTGCCCAGCAGTGCCTGAAACAAGGCATCGATCAACAGTAGACACTTTTAGTTCCAGGTTTCATTCTGCAAACACGCCTGCTGCCTCAGAATCAGAACATCATTAGGGTGAGGTTGCCAGGGCACACTGACAGCTGTCACAATAAAACACTCATTTGACACTTTGCTCATAACAGCAAATTGTGTCGACTGCTAGAGAAGCAGCAGAGCAGACCAGTGCAACCTGCAGACGTGTTGCTTCACTCAAGTTTGGAAATGTACAGATATTGATATATACACAACAGCAACAGCAGATGCCTGCTGAGAAAGCACTGGCCCTAAGTCACACCCACAGCCAGGCAGGTGGCCAAGGGGGCACTGCATGTCACAGCTGCATCCCAGCTTCCCATTTAGCTGCCTAACCCCTGGCTTGCCCACCAGTCTAACAGTTTTCCCAGGAGTCCTGCTTAGAAAGTCCTTCTAGCTCTGCCCCCCGAACCTTATGTTACAAGAGAACCCTGTCTGAATTTGATAGTGCCAATGGTTTGACTGCTTTGTCAAACTCGAGTGTGACGGCTGGCGTCAAGGGGCTCATGCAGGGTAGGCCCCGTGGGCAGACGCGCAGGGTACCAGCTCATCTGCAGTTTACACGGGCCAGGACAGGCGGGGCGCGCGGTCTGGCTACAGCACTCACCTGCGCATGCACTCCAGGGCCTGCGTGAAGACCTGTGGGGCCATGCCGTGCTCATGCTGCAGGATCAGGCACTGCTCCAGCGTCACTGACATGGCCGTACGGTCCTTGGCGCTCTTGCAGCTGGTGAACCGGACCCCATTAAGGCGACGGCAGATCTGCCAACAGAAACATGGGTCACACTTAGGAGGCAAGGCTCCCCAGAAAGGCAGCACCCTTGACACACAGGAGAGGCTCCCAACTGGCCCAGCAAGGGCACAAACAGGAACTCAACACCCAGGCCTGGCCAGACACTTCAACTGTGTTCCCCAACTCCATGCCCTGCCAGAGCTGGTAACAGAAACCAAGTCACTTACAGACACCAGCCCTTTTGGGGGCCTGCTGTCGTCCCTGCCACCCCCTATGTGGCCTGCCTTCTCCCACAGGACACTCTCATAGTCTGCTGTCCCCTTGCAAACCATGCCTGGGCCCTCTTGTCATGTTCAGCTCTTCACTGCTGATCCCTGAGGGAAAGAGGGTGACAAAGATGACCCACTTGGGGCCGGGCACGGTGGCTCGCGCCTGTAATCCCGGCACTTATGGAGGCCGAGGCGGGTGGATCACAAGGTCAGGAGTTCGAGACCAGCCTGGCCAAAAATGTTGAAACACCATCTCTACTAAAAATACAAAAATTAGCTGGGTGCAGTGGCATGCGCCTGTAATCCCAGCTACTCAGGAGGCTGAGGCAGGAGAATCACTTGAACCTGGGAGGCGGAGGTTGCAGTGAGCCGAGATCGTGTCATTGTACTCCAGCCTGGGTGACAGAGTGAGACTCTGTCTGAAAAAAAAAAAAAAAAAAAGATGACCCACTTGGGAAGCCAGAACCACTCTCAGGATGCCCACAGTCCCAGGCCAGGTCTCCCTGAAAGGCAGGGGACAGACCTACTATCTCTACTCTCCTCCTTCACATCCACAGACATGAGCAGGTCAGAAGTTCCACTGCCCTTTGGCCACTTCCTGAGCACCAGACCCTCCAGGCCTCCTCCCGCCATCCTCTCCTCACTGCAGAGTTAATACCAGCACACTTCCCTCCTCACAGCTGAATGATTCACAGAGTAGGGGACTGGCAAAAGGCCACTTGAGTGCACCTCCTCTCCCCTTGGGGAGATTTCAGGGCATTTTCTCTGCACCACTAGATACAATCCCAAGCACACAGTCACCAAATCCAGTAAGCTCTGAAATGAAATAATTTTTTTTTTATTGTAAATTTGTGGCAGTCTCATTTTGTAGCACAACCAGACCTGAGCTGATATGAGACCACTTATAATCTTTACTTTTTATGTAAATATTCATACTTTTCAGTGTGGCAATAATATGAGTTTGATTGTAGAGTGTTGCCCCAGGCTTCCTGGGGATGTTAAATCCTATATGTATACCATGGTACACATATGCGATGTGCACTATATTACTTTTTTTTTTTTTTGAGACGGAGTTTCGCTCTTGTTACCCAGGCTGGAGTGCAATGGCGCGATCTCGGCTCACCGCAACCTCCGCCTCCCGGGTTCAGGCAATTCTCCTGCCTCAGCCTCCTGAGTAGCTGGGATTACAGGCATGCGCCACCATGCCCAGCTAATTTTTTGTAGTTTTAGTAGAGACGGGGTTTCACCATGTTGACCAGGATGGTCTCGATCTCTTGACCTCGTGATCCACCTGCCTCGGCCGCCCAAAGTGCTGGGATTACAGGCGTGAGCCACCGCGCCCGGCCAGCACCATATTACTTACATATAAGAACACAGACTGTGTACCATAGTACTTTCTAAAATCTGAAAACCGGTGCATTCCAAAACATCTGGCCACAGGGGCTTCAAATAAAGGACTATGCACCTTATCAGATACTGCACTATGACAGCAAGGCTGGTATTTAATGAAACATCATCCAAGTAGTATGATGGTGGGCTCCAGGTATCTGTTGTATGCCAGGAAAATATCAGTGTCTTGTCAACTCCTGAAGATGGTACAAAACCTGCTTGTCAGGCCAGCAAAGCCAAAGAGCATGCCAGTCACTAGCAGGATCACCACTAGACATGAATATGGTACAGTGCTAAGAACCTTGTCCAGGGAGAGAAAAAACAGAAAAGACCCATTATTCAGGCAAGACCATCAGAAGGAGAATAGGCTTCTTTTGAGAACAGACCAAAAGAAAGAAAAAAAGAAAAAGCAACAGACACTAAGCAGATAAGCAGATCCTACACTAATGAAGAGTGCATTAATCAAATTTGTAAAGTTGTAACTGACAAAGCAAGAGTGAACTTGGTATGTGCACTAAATTCTGGGGGCTGTAGAGTACATGACCCAAACACATGGCGGAAGCTGGAACTATAGGTTTCAAAAAGCTTTAAATTCATAGATCCTGCATCCAGAGCTAATATGAGGGTCTGAAAGGCAGGCAGGGGTGGCCAGTGATGCATCCTTGCCCAAGAGGGCACTGCAGTGCCAGGCTACCATTCCAGAAGGCCATCAGCCACTTCTGGTGCACTGCTGCGTCTCCTCATCCATGAGACATGGGCTTAGACCTGACTAAAGATATTCCAGCTATTTAGCCAGGGACCCTTTGTTCATACACGCAAACAGAAAGAAACAGGAGCCAGAAAAAGAGCAGCTCTGATCAAATTGGGGATGGAAAGACGCAGTACCTGAGTGGCTGGCACTGCGGCCCCACAACCACTTATCCCCAGGGGATGCCTGGGGTTTGGTGGACAACATGAGAATGGATACAGCAGAGGGTCTCTGAGAGACTTCCACCTCTACACTCATGCTTGTATACCTTCAGGTCTCTATTGGGAACAAAAAATACAGGACTTGATAGACAGCTTTTCTGTTCTGGTGACAGGGCATGGTCAAGTGTCCCTATACTTAATGATTTTTCTATTATATGGCAATAGACAAGAAGAACCACAGTTCCCAAACAAGGTATGCACAAGGTCTCTGCATCGCACATCTGTAAAGCTGCCTGTGTGTTTATTCTAAGGAGAATGAATCAGAGTACACATCCCCACCACTGTTCAGAGACCTAGCTGTGTCACCCTCTGCATTCTTTTTGTTGTTGTTGTTGTTTGTTTGCTTGGTTTTGTTTATTTTTTCTTTTTTGAGATGGAGTCTTGCTCTGTCACCCAGGCTGGAGTGCAGTGGTGCAATCTCAGCTCACTGCAACCTCCACCTCCCAGGTTCAAGCGATTCTCCTGCCTCAGCCTCCAAGTAGCTGAAATTACAGGTATCGACCACCACGCCCGGCTAAGTTTTGTATTTTTAGTAGAGACGGAGTTTCACCATGTTGGCCAGGCTGGTCTTGAACTCCTGACCTCAGGTGATTCACCTGCCTCGGCCTTCCAAAGTGCTGGGATTACAGGTGTGAGCCACCACACCTGGCCACCCTCTGTATTCTTCAATGTTATGTGGGAAAGGCTTGCTCTTCATATGAAATCTCTTAAGGTACTTAGGTAAAAGGCTGTCACAGCCTGGGCAGGGAGGTTTAGCAACCCCCCAGAAAAAATAAAAGTAGTAAGCCCCTCTGCTCTGCTGCAGAGACCCCCAATGCCACATGAGGCCCCAAAACCAAGAGGATACCTGAAAAATGAGGCCGCAGAAACCTGCCGAACTTCCTGTCACTTGGTGCTCCAAAATGTGTTCTGTTATAATGAAATGTTTAGAGGGCAGCCTGGCCCAGAGTGGGGAGACCTGCAGATTGACGCATCCCATGCTTTCCATGAGGACAAAGTTTGAACAGCTGAGGCACTCGAAAAAATGCAGGGGAATGTTCACTCTTTAAAGTTTAATTCAACAGAACGGTATCAGCAGCCACAACTGTTAACAAAGCCAGAATGTGGGGCACGTTCAAAAAGTGTGGCTTCAGGAAGCCAGGCTTGAACATAGGACTAATAACCAACCCGAAGTGGCGGCCAAGCACCGTGAGCAGCTGGGACCATCTGCTGCTGTGGAAGAGACTTGGGGCCGAGAGAGCACCTTCCTGACTAGACGGAGAGGCATGCTTCAGAGTGAGATGCTCAGGGAAGCTGTGGAGGGCTGACCCTCTGCTGCTCGGGCTCTGCAGTGAGGCACGGTGGCCGAGGTGCGGTGGGCAGAGCAGTACCACTTCCTTCTTGGGTTCACCATCCCTCTCCTAGGGCGGAGGCAGGGATCAGGAACACCACTGGGGGCTATGTGTGCCCAAGTTCCAGTGCTGGGCAGGTTTTGCTGCTGTGTAGAAGAATTAACCTCACCCCTCTTTAAGGGTGAGTGAACAACCAGCTACGAAATTGCTCTGATACCCAGGCTCAGAGCAGCAGCTTGGAATCCTAAGTATATATAAACTTAGAAGAAAATATGAGCAGGGTAAGTGCTTGGGAAAATGAGATCAGAAGCACAATGTACAATAAAGATGGCTTAAAGAGACCTGAAAGGTCACATGGCCTCCTTCTGACCCTATTAAAAGATGCAGTACATAGTGGGTTTCAGCTGGTATCGATTGCCAGGCTTCTGAGGGTGACAACTGTCATCAGCCTGGCTACTAAATGCCTCAACGGATGGACTGTATCAAGCTTTTCAGAATTCAGGCAGCCCCAAAGGAATGGACTCTGTGAACTGTTCAGTCTCTTCCAGAGCTTTGGAATGTACTCAGCGATTCCTTCTTCTACCAGTACAGAGAGATCTGCTCTCCCTCCTGAGATTCTACTTTGTAATGTTCCTGTCTGACCTTTGGTAGTGGGCATAGCAATAGCCTCCTTTTCTCCCTTTCCTCTCTATAACAGTACCTCAGCAGCTTGCCAGAGAATGTCGACGTTCTTATTCTTCCGGGCATGCACGTTCTGACCCAGAAACCGTAGCAGCTCTGGCAGGCACGTCTGACTTCGAGACCGAGGCAGGCCTGGAAGAGAAAAGGAGTCCATGGGAGTGGGTGCTGCACCCAGGAACTACCCCCGACAGAGGGAGCCCACCCAAGTGAACTGCTGTGGCACAAACTGGTAAAATGACAAGTTCCCAGTTGAAGAAGGGATGGAGGTGTTTGGGGATAAGACTTGGCTGCTGATGTGGTGAGCACTTAATTTCTTTTAGTGCTACCTTCAAAGGACAATTCCTTCATCTCCCTTCAGCTCTTCTGAGGGATGGGAATGGCCACCACATCACCTACAGGACTTCTTGTAAATACCCATTGCCTCCCACACCCCTCCCACATGAGGGAGTTAGGAGGGAGTGAGGGGGATCCAGCTGGTCTTCGAAACTTCCCCAGGGTGGAGGAAACTGGTGCAGTGGGTCTGGGCCATCAAGCAGGCCTGGAAACCTTGGGAGGGATCTGGAAAGCACAGCCTCCTCCAGGGGGCCCTTGGCCCACGCTGCCCCTGCTTGCACATCCTAACAGCTCCTCCTCAACTCTGGCAGTCTCCAGGCCCTTCCAGGATCCCTTGGGCCTGAAGATCCATCAAGTCACCTTACCGAGAAACCCCAGACAAAACTGAGAAAAAAGGTACTCTGGGATTTTCAAACACTGAGATTACCAAAGACAAAGAGAAGAGTCTAAAGGTCATGGCTAAGTAAAACAGCCACAGCACTGAAATCCCCAAAGCCAAACTAAGTACATGGCATTTGGGATCTAACTGCACACCTGGTTTCCACCAAACAGCCTTGCCCTGGTGTACACAGGTCGTGTGCTAATTACTTCACGTTGCTGCTGAGTGCTCTGCACCACACCGGTCAGGGGACAGGGCAGAGACAGAGAAACAGAAAGCCAGCATCAGCCCAGACGGAAGCTGTGGGACCCCAGAGGTGGGGAGCCTAGCTGGGTCAGGACATTCGCCCTCTGGCGGAGACAGCATCATCTCACCTGTGGCTTCACATCTGCACTGTGGCTTCTTGCTGGCTGTCCCTGCAGCGCCTACTTTAATGAATACCTGTCCACTGAGGAACCATGCAAAGTTTGGGGGTATTCAGCTGGTGGGCTCCATCTCCTCAGCCTCATAGACCAGACATCCTCCTGGGGGGAAGGGTACCTGGCTGCCTCTGCCCCAGCTTCCTGGGTCATAGTCCAGTCAGCTGGCTCCTGCCTGTGCGGTCCAGCCTGGCTGCTCTGCTTCCAGAGGCCTCGCCTGTCCTGGGCCTTCACTGTCTATGGCTTCCCGACCCTGGGGACTGCCCAGCTGCCAAGGCGCTGAGCACAAATTCCCCCTTCCTACTTACTGCAGCTGCTCATCATTCCCACTCCTCCCGGACTCAGTGCATGCCCCCTACTCCCTCCCTGCTCACTTTGTGGCTCCCTGGCCAGCCCTGCGGGTGGGCCCATCCTCTCCCCTACACCAATCAGAAGATAAGGTGATGCCTGGGCTTGGCCCAGCTCCTGGGGAGACTTTCCCTCCATGGCTCAGTTTCCTCATCTGCCAAGTGGGTGTGGAACTGATGCCTATTTCCCAGGGCTGCTGCAGGGATCAGATTAGAGAATCCACATAAAGTGGGTAGTAGGGGGTCCGGCTTGCAACAAGTGTGGACAAATATGCTGTGTTAACTCCGATCCCTGCTGAAGAGGATAAGGACACCTTCTTAACAGCTCCACTGTCCACGGCACTGACGGTCTTCAGCTGCCAAGTCCTCGCAGGACCTTGACTTAATGTCATGTTTATCACCCTAGCTGTGGCACACGGGAACCACCTGGGGAGTTATGCCCAGGCCCTGCCCACCACACTCTGGAGTAGGGCCCAGGCATCTGTATGTTTCCAGGCTCTCTGCATCTGTGCCAGTTACCTCCACTCCCCTCAAGGCCCCGGTTTCATGCTCACCTCTCATGTTGAGCAGGACAAGAACACCTGTTTTACTGAGGAAACTGAGGCCACCCAACCTGAGCACCCGGTATTTCCTCCATTCGTGTCCCTATCTCCTCTATTCCTTCCTTCCCTCCCTGCAAAGGCACCCTCTGCCTGCCCGCTCCAGGGCCTGGTCTGTGACTCTGCCATCCTCTCATGTCTTCCAGTCCTGTGAGTTCTCTGGTACCTTCCCTCAGGCCTTTGAACACTCCCATGTCCCCTGCATCTCCAAGGTATGTCCCAGCTGCCCACTGCCCCATCCCTCAAGTCACTGACAGTCTTTGGGACAGAGTGGTCCATTCAAAAGCAGTGCCATTTCATCACCCCTTGACCCCCGGCCCAGTCCCCACCACAGTGAGACTGTCCGGGAGAGATCACCAGCAGCTCCTCATCCACACATCCAGAGTCCAGCAGCACCCCACACCCTCCAGGCTCCTGCCTTCTTCCTGCTAGCCTGTGATGCTCTCTCTGGCCTTCTGTTGAGTCCCTTTTTCCTCTCTGTCCCTAGAAGCAAGGGCCCCTCCAGATGCTGTTCCAGTCCCTTCTCATCTTGCCACTCAGTGGCCTGAACCATAAAAGGGCTCGCTCTGTGGCTTCACATCGGCACTCCTCATGGGTCATTTGCCCATATCAGCTCAGCTGGGGCCAGTGCTGAGCTCACCCTCCCCTGCAGCCCTGTGTCTCTCTCGTCGGTGCAGTGGCCCTTGCTGCTACTGCCAATTCCAGCATCCTCGTCCAGCGCCAGATCCGTCAGCTATCCCATCAGGCAAAGCCCTTATCTCCCCAGTTTTGCACGTGGCCGCGGAGGAGCGCATCTTCAGCCCAAACCCTCCTAATGGCTCGTCCCTCTTTCCACACCCACTGTCACTACCAGGCTGGAGTCAGAGTGAAACAACATCTTATCTGAAGTGTCACAGCCTCACTCTGGCCAGCAGTGGCTTGCCTCCCCTCTTCCAAGCCAATCACACACTCGTTAGATAAACCTGCAAAGAGGCAGCTTTTTCCCCACTGCTTCCCTGCTGAACACCACTGAAGCCAGACTCCCTGGCCCAGCCCCGAGTGTTTGGCTTCAGTGTCTCCTAGCAGGCTGGCTTCAGCCACAATCCAAGCACATGGGCTTCAGAGCCAGGCACCCCTTTCTTCATCTGGACATGGATCCTAACACCAACCCATAGGGCTGTTGTGGTTCAGTGTGGAAGTGTGTATAGAGCCCAACCCGGTGCCTGGCACATCTGTGACCTGTGAAGTTTCACCAGCATGACTGTTTGACTATCTCTAAACTCTAAGGTCTACTGTACAGGATGCAGATGAAGCCTGCCCAATTCAAAGCCCAGCCAACATGGGTTTCCTCTTTGGAAACCCCCATCAGAGGACAGTAGTGTAACGCAGTGGGGACGACACCTTTGGCTGTGTGGTGCCCCCTAGTGGCTGCGGCAGTGCCTGCACAGAGAGGCGGGCACTCTGGGACCAGCTTTCTCTCCAAGGCAGGGTCTACCCTTCATTCGTCATGGGATCTTCTAGCACTTTACACACAGCAGGTCCTCAGGGAACATTCACTCGGTTGAATTTGAGAGGGAATTCTACATGTAGACAGTGCAGTGCAGCTCTGGGTTCCCGAGTTCTGTGGCTGCAGAGCCCTTGCTGCAGTGTCTTCACTGAGGGGCATGCAGAGAGACTACTGCCAGCATCTCCACTGCTTCCAGGAGATGCCGAGATGGGGCCATCTTGCTCCCAAACATGCAGCAAGGTCGGCCCCACATCTTCCTCTCTAAGCACCAGAGAGGGTGGTGCATGGGCCGCACACCTGGCCAAGGGTGAGTCCTGCCTGTGATCCCCCAAGCCCTACCAGCAGGTGCATGATGAGTGCCACCAAACACATTGAATGTCAGTGACTACGACAGCATGGGAAGGAGCCATGTCACACAGGCTAGTAGAGAATCAACAGCAAAGAGATGAAGGAGGACCACAGCTAAGGGAAGCTTCTCTTTCTATGTGTGTGTTTAGGGAGAGAAGGAACAGTATCTGACTGCCAGTCCCTCTGGGACTGCACTTACAGAGGCATGGCAAGCCAGAGCTCAGACATCCAAACTGATAAAAAGATGAGTAAGTGAAACCTACCATGACTGAAGAAATACTTACAATCCTCAGGCAAAACTTCCTTAAACTGCTCAAAGTAGGAATTTAACCGCACCAAACTCTCCACATTGATGACTTCTTGTAAAGATGTATCGCCAAACCTTGGGAGGTTATAAGGGATGCCATTAGTTGGCTAATATGTCACTTTCTTCTAACATGAACACAACTGCATGAAAGCTAACAATGCTGACTCTCTCAAACATTTACTGTGCATATCTAAATTCTAAGCCACTCTCCTTCTTCCAAGCATAAAGGCAACTGATCGGTTTAAATACATTTCATTGGCAGGAATCACGTGTCACTGTTACAGGCGTGCCTGAGAAATGATCAGACCACAATCTGGTACAGATCCTGTGCAGCGCAGGAGCCCCACCATGGCCGTTTGGCTCAGAGTCCCTGATCTCCTCCTGTCTGAGGCACTTAGGAGGGGGGACAGCAGTGAGGTATGGCTGGGAGGTGAGGCTGCAGCCCTGTATTCCAATCTGAAGTCACTCTCCATCTGCAGAATGAACATGCCTGACTGCCGGTCCCTGCAGGACTAACCATGAAACCCTTGCCCTTTCCTCATTGTTGCAGTTCACCCTGATTACACCTGTGTGCTGCAAGCGAGCATGTGCCAAATGCCTAAGAAACAAGGCTGTGGAATGTCACCTGCCAGGAAGGCACGAGGTGGTCATTAGAAAATGCATCCTCTAAAGTCCAGGTCCTGGGCCCCAGTGCAGTCCCACACGTCCCTGCTGAGGGCCCTTCTGAGTATCAGCTTCTTTGTGGCCCTAGAGCATCCCTCAGAGGGCAGGACTCCCTCCTGTGGGTCCCAGCCCATCCACCCTGGTGCCCACAATGGCCTTTTCTCTAGGCGTCTGCTCCCTCGGGGGCCATCCCTGCCCCTGGGCCTGTGGCCTCCCTTTTGAGGACTCTCCCATCAGCTTATAAACAAGCGCAGCATGCCAGCGACATCTGGGCCAATGAAGGAATAAAGCAGAGACCCTGCTCTTCGCAAATCATCTCTGTTCTGTGTTGCATCCTCCACCCTCCCTTCTGCTCACTGCACCTGGCCCTGCCTCAACCCCCTCCAGAAACTGCTCCTGCAAATCCCTGGGATCTGCAGCTATTGGATGCAGGCACCATCATTCTACCTTTCCTGGGCCATCTCCCTGCGGGGGCTCCAGTGAGGCTGCACCTCTCCCTGGCATAGGCTCCTCCAGCTCTGCTTACACCTTTGGGGCTTTGCTTTCTGGGCCCTCAGCCTAAACCCAGCTCACCACCTGCCCCTGGACATGACCCTCCTGCTAGTTTATGAGCTCAGTGTTTGGGTCTGTCTGGTATACTCTCCTACCAATCAACCTCAGCCCCACTGAAGACCAGACCCTTCCACTGACCACTTAAACAGTTCCCCAGCCTGCCCCTTTGCAGAACACCAACACTTCCCCGGCCCTGATCCAGGTTCCCACCTCTGGTCTGGATTCCTGTCAGTAGCCTCCTCCTCACACTTGTCCCCTTCATCTCCTCCCGGCACATGACAGCAAAATGACCTATTTAAAAGTAAATCTGATCGTGTCCTGCCCCACTGAAAGTTCAGCATCTCCCAGCATATTTCCCAAGTTGGGATGACTCTACATCTAGGCGTCAATGGACATCAACCACTGGGGCTGGACATCAGAAGGCCCAGCAGGAATATGGCATATTGTTCTGGAGACCAAATTTCCCTCACGGAAAGTACTTTAAGATATTACACACATCACATGAAGATAATGTGATGTGTGTAGATTAGTCTAAACAGATATCTTATGAGAATGTTTCCTGTATTGTCATTTATTGTCTAAGATATCCCTTTTACTAGTGTAGAAGGCCAGTGTAGGGTACATATAGCCAATCTACCCTATCTCCTCACACACATGTACACACACAGGCATACACAACTCCCCTCTGCAGTGAGGCAAGTGATCCTGGAAGGCAGTTTACAAGGTGTAAGCCTTTAGGTTCAAACATGAGTCTCAGCCTGGTACACAGAGCCTGTCTACCCCCACCTGCCAATCCCTGCCTGGAACTTGATGCCCCCGGCCTGCATGCTATTTTTCCCCACTAGGCCATTGTTCAGTCTTCTTAATCTGATACCTCTACCCTTTATCTCATCATCTAACTCCTACTCATACTTCAAAACCCCATCCTCTGCAACTCCAAGAAGCCTTCAACAGACCTCTTAGACCTCGCTCAATGACCTACTCGGGAATCCCACAATGCCCTGTATCTGTGTTCATCATTACATCCATGTCTCTCTCTCCCATCAGTTGAGTCTCTGAGGACAAGGACCACCTCAGTGTCAGGTACATGGTCATGATGAAAATGTGTACACATAACCAAAGGAAGGAAGGATGACAAAATCTGTCCAGCACTTGGAGCCTGAAGAGGGCTAAGTACGTTTTCTGCATCATCTCCAGGGCTGCTGCACCCCCATAGCCCCAAGGGGCCAGCACGCACCTCTCAGCCAGCGTCTGCTGCTCATTGATGCCCACGTTGAAGAGGACGGGTTGCACCCGCAGCAGCATGCCGCTCTGGATCTCCCGGGGCAGGGCATCAAACAGCGGGCCCGGCAGAGGGACCCGCACATTAAACCCGTCGCTGGAAAAAGGCAGAGAGAGGGAGAGCAGTGTGAAGCCAGAGGGCCACCGAGCAGACCACAGTGCCTGGGCTGGCCCTCTGGCTCAGTGATGGCCAAACTGCCAACCACAGACCTTTAAGGGAGTGGCAGTAGGGGGCTGTAATCAGAGCATTTAATAGAATGAAATAGGATTAAAAAAATTCAGAAGTAAGAGCACATTCCCTGAGATAACCAAACATGGAAACTGTTCTCTGGCTCAGAGAATTAAACCAACACTCTACCGATTTCCTGTGATGACGGGCAGCATGTCCACGGAGGCGCTGGAAGTGGCCTGAGTAACTTTGAAGGTCACGTTCCTTAAGTCCATGATCCCAAGGCTCATGTCCTCCAGCATTGCCAGCTCCTCACCTGGACATGAGAGATGGGCGGGGCTGTCAAGCAGAGGGCCCTGCTACTCTCCCCAGAGTCTTGGCAGAAGGCGCCAAGCTCAGGCCTGGCTGTAACAGGAGGGGTGCCAGGTGTGGCTCTGGTGGAGGGGGAGCTTCTTCCCCTGCAACTTGCCCCTCTGTGAGTCAACAGCACTACTGAAATCCCATAGCCACATCAAAACATGCAGCTGGTGGAAACACACGCCATCATTTCCCACCCTTTCTTGGGCAAGCACAGGACTGCAGAGAGGGATACAGAAATACATAAACTCAGAAAACAAAGCCAGCTCTTGAAACACAGAAAGAGAGATGCTAAAGCAGCTTTGCTGTGGCTAGACCCTCCCATAACACAGGGCTTGATATCTATTCGATGTCCTCAATTTCCAAAGATTAACAAATACTTGCTATCATCTTCTCAGAAGGAATAAATAATAAACAAGGGTAGAAAGAAGAGAGCCTTTTTGGAGGGCAATCTGGAAATATCTATTGAATTTAAAAATATTTTTACCCTCTGACCCAGCAACTCTCCTTCCAGTCATTCAGTAGCTGCAGAAACAGGCCCACAAGTGCCTTGTGCACAGATGCCACTGCTGCACTGATGTTTCAGAAACAACCCAATGTTCAACAGGAAGTTTACTGGTTAGTAATTAGCATCCATCCTCAACCAGAAACAACAGCAAGCCAAACCAAGGTGTGTGTGTGTGTGTGTCTAACTGCCGGGACTGCCATCTGGCCCATTGTCATATATTTTGGATTTATTTCAATCAGCACACATTACTGGTATAGTGAGAAAAATACCTAGCAAGAAAGGATAGAAACCACACACCAAGTGGGGCTCCCACTCCTGACCCGGGTGCCTCACCGTAGGTGCTCAGCAGGCTCTCGAACTGGGCCAGCAGCCCAATGGTGTACAGCTGCCGCAGGAAGCCATCGTCATGCAGGCAGTTCCTCAGCTTGATGATGAAGCCGCAGATGAGGGCAGTCAGCTGTGGGAGCATGGGGTGAAGTGGTTCAGGGTCAGATGCCTGCTCACCAAATGGCAGTCAGATCATGCACAGCCCCACCCCACCCACCCACCTCCCTCTGCTGCCACTGCTCACAGGGGCTTCCGGGGCACCTGTTGTCCCTCTGGAAGCCCAGATGGGGCATGCCCTGGCCTTGGGAAGACACCTGACACTCTGGGCTTGCTACTTCTGCCGTTCCCAAAGTGAGTGTGGTTTTGGCTCAGCTTCTGACCTGACCTATACTTGGGGTTATTTCTGAGCTGGAACGTTGTGGAAGCCCATAATTAATTACTCACGTGAAAGGGTCTATCTACTCATAGAGCCATACCACCCCTAGCTGGAAACTGAGTTAACCGCAGCAAAAGACAGAAGTGAGAGACAAGAGGGTCACTCAAAAGTTTCCCTACTGGGAGATTTTCTGGGGGATGAAACAGGACTCCCCAGGATGGGTGGGGGAACCTGCAGAGAACCAGCCCAACCCCCAATCACTATTCATTTTACCAATTTGATTACTGGAAACTATTAAATTTGTTTCATTCATTTCAAGGCTTCACTTCTCTCAACAATGAGTCTTGTAACAAGCCACAGCACTAAGGCACCTACTGTTTCATGAACAATGTTTGCACCGACAGCAAACACCCATGTTGCCTTCACTAAATTCCTGTGCAGTAAAAAACCAAAAGGCAGCAAAGAAGCCTGCGCCACTCATGCCCTCACTACCTCCTGGGCACAAAATTGGCAGACTCTGCAGGTGCCAGTTCCTTGGGAGAAGCAAGGATGGGCTGCCAGGGTAGCTTTCCTGCCTATGTTGAAATTTAGACCTCTCTATTGAATAACCTTTAAAGCAACCACCGGGAGGAATTATGGCCATCTGGGGTTTTTTACAAGTGAAGCGAAGAGGGAAGGGCTTCCTAAGCCTGTCTTTTCTGAGCTGAGAGGTGCTCGTGGCCTCCCTTGGGGTGTTCCCGGGGCTTACAGTCTGGCAGAAGACCACGTCACGGCGGTACTGCAGGCTCAGGTAGGTGGCTATGGTGGGCGCGCTGTCCTGCATGAGCAGGAATACCATGGCCTTCTTGGCCTTGTCACTCATCATGGCCACACAGTCAGTGAGAGTGGTCAGCAGCGGGTAAAGGGCTTCACTCCATTCACCTGGGGCACAAGTGAAGGGGTCATCACAGTAAGAAAGCGAGATTTTAAGAATTAGGTTCTGGCAATTTAACAAGTCACTTGGCCCCTAACCACTGCAGTCTTCCCACTCCCCCATCTCCACCCCATCTTCTAGCTCTGGGTGGAACCAACCCAGTCTCTAGCCCTCTAGCCTAGCTCTTTCCAGCAAACTCAAACATCAGTTCTACTCCGGTAGCACCAACACATGCCTGATCTCCGGAACCTGTTGGGGACCCTGGACAGAAATACTCAAGACAATGCCTCTGGAGAAAAATAACAAAAAAGCTTCTGCGGGTCATGACAAAGTCAGAAAATGCTTCTGTCCACAGAGACCCATCTCCTTCCACAGCACTGTAGCACCTCAACCCGGAGAGGAAGGACACCAAAAGATTCTCTAAGCTCCCTTCTCTTGACCCGGGTATGAAGTCAAGTCAGAGGCTTCTCTGCCCTTGCCCAGTCTTGTGTGCAACTGTGTTCAATTCTCATCTTGCACACCTGGAGGAGGACTATTCCTCACAGCTCCCGAGTTTTCAGCCCTCAGGACGGCCCCTTCTTGCACTCACTTTTTCCGTGCCCCCACCTTCCTTCCACAGTGCTATTTTTTTCTTTTAGCTTAGTTTTCTTTTAGGAATATAGGGAAACTTTGACCCTGTACCAAAACAACGTTTTAAAAATAGAACCTCAAAGGAGAAAAACAGGGTGAATGATATTTTGGGTTTTGACTCTTTTTCCTTCCTATTTAGAAGACATTTAAAAGAGAAGACAGGCTCTCATTAAGGTTATATTTGTAACAGGTCACTAAGACCAGAAATAGGCATTTGATCATCATCACTCAGTGAATCCACCACACCAAACATGGTGAGAAGCTGTGGAGTGAAGCCTGGGCAGTGCACGCCCTCAGGGTGAGGGTTTGAGCCACAGTATGCACCAGCCCACATCATGGCACTCAAGAAGGCCATGGGCTGTGGGAGCTGTGCGGCTGCTAGAGGGTAACCTCTGTCTTAGACAAACAGAATCTCAGAGACTGAGAGAAGGGCAGCTTGGCTCTGTTCTCTCAAGCTAAATGGTTAGCACTTCACTGAGAAACAAACCTAAAGAAATACATGAAACATGCAAAAGAATTCCCTACAGTGTTTGGTTAATGCAAATTTTGAAGTACACGTAGCAGCTCAGAAGTTGGAGGTGACCTAACTGTACATGCAGGCACACTAACTGTTTGTGGACAGGATTTGTAACTGTAATGAAAAAGGCAGGCTTAAATTTAGAAAGCCCACAGCAGCGAGGTCTTAGCAAATGAATCATGGTGACGAAGAATACTGGACTGAGAGGTAGAAAATGTTGGGTCCTGGCCCCAGCCACTGCTGAGCAGTGGTGACCACAGACAAGGTTCTCGACCCCTCAGCCATGTGGGTCCTTTTTTATAAAACGAGAGAGAGGCACTAGATAATGTCCGAGTCTCTTTCCTCCACGAAGTTCTCAGAGACCGTGTTTTTGTTTCTTTGAAGAATTCTGTTGAATGTATGCCAATTTTTGAAGTGCCCGTCAAAAATGCCAATGGCAAGCAGGTTTTTGTAGCCAAACAATTTGGGGAAAGGTAGGCAGTCATTAAGACTACGCTTCACTAAGAAGTACATGCTCTTAAAGCAAATGTTGTCAATTTTACTTGGCTTTTCTAGCTATCATGCATACCATGAAAAATCATGATTATTTTAATCTGAAAATGATCAAAATATACAAGTGGTCTTACTTGACTAAGAAAGCTCTCTCCATACAACCTTTTCACTTTGCCTATTTCTCTTTAAATTCCTATAAGAATGATTGCTTTGCTACATTAGGAAAAAAATGAAAAAAAAAAAAAAAAATGTAGTAGGCCGGGCACGGTGGCTCATGCCTATAATCTCAGCACTTTGGGAGACTGAGGTGGGTGGATAGTGAGGTCAAGAGGTTGAGACCATCCTGGCCAACATGGTGAAACCCCATCTCTACTAAAAATACAAAAATTAGCCGGGTGTTTGGCACGTGCTGGTAGTCCCAGCTACTCGGGAGGCTGAGGTGGAAGAATCGCTTGAACCCAGGAGGTGGAGGTTGCAGTGAGCTGACACTGTGCCACTGTGCTCCAGCCTGGTGACAGAGCAAGGCTCCATCTCAAAAAAAAAAAAAAAAAAAAAAAAAATTGTAGTATAGGAAGAATGGCTAAAAAGCACTAAGATGTTTATCCTGGAAAAGTGGAGATATGGAACTTAGTAGAAGTTGAGTGTGGCATCTGCCCAGAGAAGGCTCAGACATGTCTGGAACAATTTTTTAAAATGTCAAACAAAATTTATTTCTTGGGCAGTAACATTATTTCTACCCAGGATCTAATGAAGTAAAGGCACCTGGGACGCTGGACTCAGTGAAGGGTTTATACTCTGCTTCCTTCACCGAGACAGCTTTGCTATGAAAAAATATCAGCTCAATGGAACAATGTCCTGAGTGACATCACTGACCCATGTTTTTGTGGAAAGTTCCTTATCTAGCTCCTAACCTGTAATGTTTGCAGACTGGTAGTGAATTCATGGGTCATACTAATTTAGATAACTTTGAAGAGCACTTTCAAATCTGTACTTTGCTTCTGCATTTTCCCCTCATTAGTAGGGGTGGGAGAAAGGGAGAGTGTGTATGTCTTTGTAAGTGTATATGTTGTAGCCCATATTAAATGCAGTTCTACAGGAAAAGCCAAAAGAACCCCTTGCAGGGGCCATTTTAGTCCATCAGCATCAACTATGGAAAAGCCATCAGTGCTTCTAGAAATGGCCCAGCTGACACACAACAAAGAAGGCTCTACCGGCCAGGCATAGTCTTGTGTGCTGTCCGGGGACCCACGAGACTTCCCATTAGTTCTGCAACCCTCGGGTGCCCAGAACTGAGAAGACTCCCTGAGCTTCTGTGGGGGTAGGTGCACACACCACCAGCCCTCTTCTGGTCCTAACTGCTGCGTGTAGCCCCAGGCTTCAGCACCGCTGAGGCTCAGGCAACACTCAGCTCGATCTGAAGGCAATGGCCAGCCATGGAGGTCAGGTGAGGAGGCCTGAGAATGAGGCATGGGCCCAGGAGAGGCAATGGAGGAGACCAAGGTCAACTGTTTGTACATCTACCAAGGCCTGATCAAGGCAATACTGACTTTCTGGGAAAGAGAAACTGTAAAGGGTTTGAAAGCAACCTAGGAGAGTATGATGTGTCCAATCAGATTAGCCTGCCAATGAGCTAACTTCAAAGAGCGCCCTGGGGTTGCTGCCAGGAGCCGCCATAGTATGCTGACTCACAGGGCTGTATGGGTGGACAGGCTTCACCAGCAATGCACAGGAATAGCTTATTAGCCTAGTAAATCCCACAGTCATGGACTCGCTGCATTCTAGACATCAAGCAAGTATCCTGCTGTCATATTTATTACCAGTCAGAATATGCAAGCAATAGACTGACCATGCAGCTGATTTTTGGAATGTCAGAAAAAGAAAGTCAAATCATATTCTTTGGGGGACTCATGCTCAAAACCACAAGCCATACCCAGGAAACTCAGTATGAACTAGATCAGGGGTCAGCACACATTTTCTGTAAAGAGCTATACAGTAAATATTTTAGGCTTTGAAGACCATGGGTTCTCTGCGGCAACCAACTCAACTCTTGCATTGCTGTAGAGGCAGCCATAGACAATACATTAACAAGTGGGTAAGATTAGTTTCCAACAAAACATGATTTACAAGAGCAGGCTGTAGACAAGATTTAGCTCAGAGCTGTAGCTTGCCAACCCCTGAACTAGAACTGTAAACACTGGTTTCTACATGCAAATGCAGCAAAGAGATTACATTTCTGGCACTAACTCCAACTGAGGCCCATCACAATGTCTGATAAAAATTCTAAAACTGCACCCAGAAAGTCCAAATGTGTACCTCCCTACCTCAGGAAGCCCAATGCACTCATCTAGAAAGGCTTTAGAATGTAAGAGTAAAACAAATACATGTGGTAGGTCTGCCTCAGGCCACAATTTCCTCAGCCAAACTGGTCCCTCATCAAACCTGCGAGAAGTGTTATATGCCTCACAATGAAGGAGGTCCTGGAATACTTTCCCATCTCTGGGACCATAAGGCAATCTTTGGTAATTTAGCTACAAAACACTACCTGAGTATTAATTAAAAGGGCATCGGCAGGAGCCTTGAACGGAAACCACGTACCTGGGCTGGACTCTTCAGGAGGGGGACTGCAATCTGCACAGAAATGGAGGGCGACATGGATGATTAAGCACACAGTTCAAACCAAGCAACTCAGTCTCAGAGCAGCTGCATCAGCAGCTTGCAGTAAGGTGGCTAACAAACAGAGAAGAGGTCTGGGTGCCTGGCTGCCTCTTCCCCAAGAAGGCTCATGAAAGTACTCCGGCTGCTCCGAGGCAACCAAACCCTCTCAGTGATAAACAATGATCGATTCCCCAGCTTAAACATTCATGTTGCTGATACTTCAACATAAAATGCTCTTCGGGATGTGCGATCTAGCTTATTACAATGTGATAAATGCCACAGAAAAAAGCACCCACATAAATCACATTGTAGTGGCAGAGCCTCACTTTGACTTGCAGCATCTGGAAGCAAACTTGTAAGGAGAGAGACTGACCAGTACATGGAGTGTTCCCCAGTCAGGCCTACCGCTCTGATTTACTGGGGAAGCCTGGGCTCTGCATCAACTGCTGAGATCCAAAATGTTAAGATCCAGGAATGAAACCAGTACACCAAAAAATAAATCTATGCCAATTTTCCAAATTTAAATCAAATGTTAGGTTTTGTGATTTAGGGGTAGTCTCCAATTAGAATGTCCCTTCAGGTCCTCAAAGAATACCAATTTTGATTCCATTTCACCTATACTAAGTCACACTGGGATGTGCTTATTTCAATTTTCTATTCCCTTAAAAACTAAAATTTCAAGTTAACTGGGTGCAACATCTAACAGAAAACAAGTTTGATAAAAGAATCATGGAAGAAAACGTTTATGTTACTTTATGTCTGAGCTTTTCAGTTCAAAGAATGTCTTCAGGATGTGGAGATGAGGTGGTCTCAGATCCCCAAGAACAGCTGGAACCAGCTTTATGGGGATTTTACAACCTAGGTTGTAAAGAAGGGGCAAAGGATCCTTCCTCTTTAATTGTTTTTGGAAGTGACTTTTCAAATTGGCAAAGGGGAAAGAGAATACAAAGTCATCTGTAAGTTCAAGAGTTCGACCTCTTCATTAGAACCCAGATACCCTAGCTGGGTACAGTGGCTCACACCTGTAATCCCAGCACTTTGGGAGGCTGAGGCAAGTGGATCTTCTGAGGTCGGGAGTTTGAGACCAGCCTGACCAACATAGAGCAACCCAATCTCTACTAAAAAATACAAAACTAGCCGGGTATGCTGGCACATGACTGTAATCCCAGCTACTTGGGAGGCTGAAGCAGGAGAATCACTTGAACCTGGGAGGTGGAGGTTGCGGTGAGCTGAGGTCGTGCCACTGTACTCCAGCATGGGCAACAAGAGCGAAACTCCATCTCAAAACAAAACAAACAAACAAAAAGAACCCAGATACCTGAGACCATCTTGCTAACAAAGACAGAAACCCACAGTAGTGTTGAGTGATTCAGAATCATGGCACTTACATAATGGTCTGCTAATCAGGTTATGCAAGGCCTTGAAAAAATACAGATTTTTGCCTCCCCACAACTCCTCTTCTAGGATTCTGAGTCTGTGAAAGAGGAGGAAGGTCTAGGAGCCTGTTTTATGAGCTTCTGTGGTTATCCCAAACAGTTGGTTTGGGACCATTCCTGTGAAGGCATCAGCAATTAAACCCAATTTGCTAAATTCATCTTTTAAGCCAAGGGGAGAAAGAGCGGGTCTTCTCTGGTACTCTTAGAATAATGGCTTGTAACTTGTCTTAGGTCATGGAGTTAAGGATAGATAACCACTCTGGACTTAAGGGGTACAAGAACCTGGGGTGTACCCACAGACCCCAGACTAAAAAAAACTTGGTCTGAGTGTCTCTGGGTATGAGGAGAGCAACAGTCTGTACATGAAGAAGCGGGTAGAAGCCACCAAATCCTGGTGGGGCAATGGCGGTGCGCCGTGGCAGGCGGGGGTGGAGGGGTGCGGGAGACTTTTGGAGAGATGAGAAAGAGGGAAGTCTGAGAAGCCTCTGTGGTTTTGGCTGGCAGGGACTTGTCAGTGAGTCCCCAACCAAGCTTTGGCCCTGGGTGACCCTCACCTGCCAGACAGGGCTCTCTGATCAGGGCTGGGCAGCTCTGAGGCAGGGTAGCTCCTTGGTGAAAAATAAAACCAAGGACCTAGGACAGGGTAGAGAACTGGAATGAAAAGTGATGATGCCTTTTGGAGCAGTACAGAGTTATTCTTATATAATAAATATGTTGGTGTGAACATACTTGCTCATTAAGCCAAAACAATGGCTCCAGTAACTTGGAATGGTATAAAAAGTCATGACATACCCAAGGCATGGCACTGCGGACAAGACTCACCAAAAGATACAGCTCGCTGTCTGGTTCTTTCTGATCCTCCTGCTTAACTGAGGACTGAACAGCTTCCTGGCTATGCTAAAGATGTTTAAATTAAGGACTGTCCACAGATAATTTGGTGGCATATGGTTTCATGTTTCTCTGAGTACTGATCAGCAGAGTTAGACTCTCTCAAATGTAAGTTTCACATTCTCATTATTATAACAGCTGATTTTTATGGCACACACACAAGTCAAACCCTAAATAGCATACATAAATGCTCATTTAAATAACTTTAAAACTGAATAAAAATGTATCTATATTTAAACAATACAGGATGTGCCTAGAAAAAAATATGACACTTAAGTTAGGGATATAATCCCATCTGATGAAATAAACTAGCTCTCACATTTAAAACAGCCAATAAATTACTCTTTTCATATCTGCAGAAAAATGCAAAATCACAAACAAGATAATAAAGCAAAAAGACAAATAACGAACTTTCTGAAAATTTTAAAAAGGAACATGATTTACATAAAAAAGAGAACAAGAATAGAGACAAAACAGTTCCATGAACCAATCACAGGTGTGGGGAAGTGAAACTATAATCCCTCATAGATGGAGAGATGGGTGACGTGACAACTGTCGAGACAGAGGCTCAAGTGAGACAGTGCCCTGGAAACAGACTGCAGGCAGAGTAAAGAGGCGAAGGGCATCTTATAACCTGATGGGGGATTTGCCAAGAGGCTCTGACCAAGAAGCACGCTTACATCTTGAATGGAAGTTCCCCAATTCAGAATTTAAAAGCCCTCATCACATGACGCCTAATCCCAGCACATCTGGGCCTTACCCACTATGGCTTAAAACTCCCACAGGAGAACAAAAAGGAGGCAGAAACTAGGTCTGCGGGCAAGTCTCATCTGCCTAGCCTGTAACTCTCCAGCTCTTATGGGAAAAGGCGGGAGCACCTTAGTTGCAGGGACCAAGGACCCGCTTATTAGAAAGCACCCATTTCCCAGCTTTGAGGCCATCTTTCTGACAGTGTCCTGGTATGCTGTGTCTCTGCAGACATGAGACTGTTCAGAAGTGTGCTGCTTCATGCCAATGTCCTACCCTGAAGGGTCCTGCCAAACTACCCCGACTCAGCCCACCAGAAGCCCAGGAACAGGGTCCCACTCTCTGACTGTGTTACCAAGTCCCAAGGCAACATTCCTCTGCTGGATAAGAGTGCTCAGCCAATGCCAACCAGCTTTTAGACATGTCCACTGGATGAGAGCCAATATCTCTCATCCAGCTGTGTCCCTGCACAATTCCCCTTTCCCTTTCATTCTATCAATTCCTAATGCCATAGACAATCACATCAGAAAAGCATCTGCAACCTGGCCTCCTTCAGGTTCTCGGATTGCTTTACAAACCTGAAAGGCCCAGGAGCCCAACCCTTACAGCCATGGTAATGTGTCCCAGGAGCACCCTGAGATTCTGACTGGCAGAGATACAGAATCACACACAGGCTCCAGTTACATGGAAAGTCAACCACCGAGTCTACTCTCACTGCCCAATGCTCCAGGCACTGGGATGCCCCTGCTCCACCTGGCAGCCCTCCCTGCAGTCTGCATGGGAGAGGAGGGCATGGAGTCAGAGACACAGACAAACGGAAGCAGCACAGAGTGAAGTGAAGGCAGCGTGGAGGAAGCATGGATGCATACGCACGTGTGGTCAGGTGAGGATGGCATGCAGCGGAGGGCATGGTGGAGGGGCATGACGAGGAGGGGACATCACAGAAGGGGTCTTCTGGTCTGATCCAGTAGGCGTGGTTGTCCCGGTTACCTTTCTTGCTAGTACAGCTTCCTGCACAGGGGAAAACATCCTCACAGCCCTCGCCATGCAGCCGCTCCTTCTGCAACAGCTTGTCCACACGCTGAATGATGCACTCCAGGCTCTTGTCCACATTCAGCCACACTTTCTCCTTCCAAATCAAAGAGGCTTGTGTGGGTCAGCTTTCCCAAACAGAAACACAAACAGAACACAAACAAATCGCCCTCCATGGATCCGCTGCCCTAGGCTTCCACACTTACTAAAATATCTCAAAGTTTAGAAATATAAAGATGATTCTTAATTCCCCATTAAAGTTTTATTTGCTTTTCAATGAGGAATCAATGTCCTGCGGCCACTGTTTTTAGAGTTTGGGATCTGTTTGCTAGTGACTCTTCTGGAGGCTAGGTGTGGCTCCAGCACTGCCTGAAGGGCACTGCAGACCTCCTACAACTATCACACGCAGACAGGATGGAGGCCTCCCCTTTGATGGAAGGGAATGGAAATTTGGGATAGGAGAGGTGGGGAGGAGGTGAGGGGCGTCTGGGAATGATTTGCAGAAACACACACAGCCTATAGGAAGGCACTTTGCTGCTGATTAATAGTTCAGTACTTGCAGGACAATGCCTGTAAGCAGTAGTCCCAATAAATGGCAAAAACAAGTTGTACAATGTGTCACTCCCTCAAGAAACACAGAACCTCTCCCAGTGCCAATTCTGTGAGGCACAATAATGTGATGTAATGTCAGGGCAAGCAGCTTCAAAATCCACACCCACTTGCCCCAGCACCGAGCTCCCACATCCCCAAATACACATAGCCCTGGAAAATCTAACAGCACACAGAGCACTGAGGAAGCAAGAGAGGGCTGACTGCTCTCAAGCACTCCAAGGCCACAGAAGGCACAGGCAGCAGGGGAAGGAGAGAAGATCTCCAACAGGGCAAAGGCTCAGAAGGAAAACCCACTTCTCTTTCTCTCCATCCAGGTCTGAGACTGGCCCTGCCTCCAGCACAGACCTGCCCCAATCTGGACACAAGGGTTTGAAAATAGTCTCCCTCCCTGCATCATGAGCCAAGGAGCCATACAGGAAGGAAACCTGGGGTTTGTTCACAGCAGCCAAATCTTGAGGCACCTTGAAGAGGCAGAGACTGGCAACAGTCTTTGTGGTTTCCAACCCACGTCCAGCAGTGGGATGACAGCCACAGCAGCAGACTCACCCACTCCTCCTCGTGCCAGTCCACCTGCAGGGAAGATCGGCTGTTTCTCCCCGTCCACCGGGCCATGAGGGTGTCCTGGTCATTTCTAAGCATCACCTGCTCCTCCTCAGTCGAGGTGGGGGAGGCCTTGGAGGCAATGTAGTCAGGCCGCGCGGCATTCAGCCCATGGATGGAGTTGGCCAGCAGCTTGCAGTCGCAGACCGTGACCAGCTGCCGTGTCTGCAGGTGTATGTAAACCAAGGCTGCTGAGTCCAGGCCAGGGGCTGGGGAGGCCCCTGCCTTATCTCAGAAATGGAGAATGGGCCTAAGGCCCAGCAATGCATCCCTCTGCCTTTCTCCATAGGGTAAAGCAACTGAAGGGCTGCATCCCTCAGGATGTCTAAATACAAAGACTACCATGTGGCCCACTTGGGCTGAATCTTAGCAAGAATTTCCTACCAAGGAAGAGGAGAGGAGGCTGAGAAACCTCTGATATCCTCTGATCCCTGCCTGCCTCTGACCTGTGATTGCTAGGGAAGGGGCCTACAGAGACAGCTCACTGCCCCAGCTTTGACAGACTTCCTGGCCTGTCCTCCACCTTCCAGGGTGCAAGTGTCCAGGGTTTAGGCCTTACTTTGGTTCAACTGTGGAAGTCTTATCTTTTGCTCCTCAGGATCTAATAGCTCAAGTTCTGGGCTCTGGGTAGCTGGATTCGTGGCACATGTTTGGTTTTGGAGAATTCTGCATGCAACACAGGATCTGTGGTTCATAATGTTACTGCTGACAACTACATCTTTCCTTTTCAGTAGATCTAATCCCCACCTCTCACTCTTTATGCTCTCTGTCCACCAGGCCATGAAGGTGTCCTGATCATTTATGCTGTGTGAACATTTTATGTTGTATGAACACATGTGAAGGATATAACACATTCTGGTCAAGAACAGCAGCTCAACAGCAAAGTGTCAGTGAGGAGGTGTAGTTGGAATCTGTATGTGTGTGTGTGTGTGTGTGTGAGCGTGTGTTTGTGCACTGAGAGGGAGACTGAGTAATGGGAAAAAGCATTATCCATCAAAAGGATCTGATACAGCCACTTCCTCAGTATGAATTAATACTTATATTTTTTTAAATCAGGATCAAGTTATGGCTAAGTAGAAGCTGGTTTACTGACTATACATAAGCAAGTAAAATTATATTGTTCTTATCTCATGTCTGTATGATAGCTCAGTTTCTGTTTTCAAATTCAACTACAATAGAACTGTGGCAAAAAAAAAAAAAAAGTGCTGGTGAGGCTGTTACTGAGAAAGCAGTGGAACTGTATCAGCCCCAACAAAATGAGCCCTATGGACTTGCTGAAGGGCACATGTACCTGAAGCTGCACCTAAGAGTCATGAGCCCTGGGCTCTGCCCTTGGCCTGTCCAGCTCTGTGGACAAATCATGAAACCTCCCTGGGCCTTTGTGGGAAATAGACGTAAGGTAGACCTTCAAAGTCATCCCAATGTCACTCTCTTTGTGGACCACCTTAGATATACCTGGGCTGCCCAGTGGCTTCCAGAAACTCAAGGAAACTCCGCAGTCCACATGCAACAGGGCACCCCTCCTACCTTGTCTGCCAAGATGGCGAGTGTCCTCTCAAGGCCAGTGGCAGACCTGTCCTTGGCTGCCCTTGAGAGCCGCTCTGCGTAGTAACTAACTTGGGTTTTCAGGGTGTTGATCTGGGCAATGATCTCCTTGGCTCTGACGACATCCTGTGGTATGTAGATTATGGACTGGCAGCCAGAAGATGTACTGAAAAGTAAGAACAGATTCTAAGGGATTCTCCAGAATCTGAAAAGGATGACAGCATCATCCCAACCCCAGCCACAATTAACCCTAAGATGAAGTGTTCTATGACTCAGGGATGTTCTCCTAGGTTACTCTAGTTGTTGATAAGCAAAGTATATCTTACGAGATTCTTTCTGGCTATGTGGCAGAAGCTTGAAATATTAAACTATGACTCGGTCTTTCGGCTGTATTTGCACGTACCTGTATTTTTACTTGTATATTTAAATGTGTGACAGGTATTGAACAATCATATCTCATAATCACCCAAATGATCGTAAGCTTTCACCTCAGAACCTCATGTATTAACTTATAAGCAGTCCTTAAGTGGAGACATGGAGGCCCTTTACAGAAGAGGTCGGGTTATCACAGTGTAGCAGAGACTGCAGTGGGTGTTGGCCTTTGTCCCCAAACAACCAAAACCTATTTCTTCATTTGGTCAATCAGGAATTCAAGCTCCTTGTAAACACACCCATCTTTGTTCTTCCTCTCACTTCTGACCCCAGTAGTCCCTAGAAAATTGGGTTTCCTTTCCCTTTCCTTCGCTCTAGGACTTCCCTACTTTGAAAAATAACCATCAAATGAAGAGAAAGTGGAGAATGTGGCAATCCAGAGGTGAAGCCAGACTCCTCAGTGGCTTTGAAACTTTCGCTTTCCCTCCTTCCCACCTCTTCACCACCAAGCAGCGTGTGTGTCTAGGGATCTGATATCAAGCCTACAGCCCAGCCCCTCCCAGAACAATCAAGAGGCACTGAAGGACCAACTTCAAGTCTCCTTGCTGTGGGGGCTGACCAGTGTGTTGGGTCCAACTAAATAGTGATGATAAATTGCATGTCTCTTAGCCAGGATCCCAATCAATTCAATATTATAAAATTATTTTTCAGACCATGAGGAAGTTGAAGAAAGCAGGAAGAAGTGCAAGCCACGAATGCAGAGGTCTCCTCCTAAAATTTGAAACTGTGGGCTCTGGCTGGAATGGGTGTCCCTTCTCTCATGGGATGAGGGGTCCTGACTGGTCCCTAAAGGGCTGCCCTTTGAATTCTGGGGAAGAGCAAGAAAGAGGAGGAGTGAGGGCACCTCTCACCACACCCTCCATCACTTCCCCTGGAGATGAGGGTCACCTTGGTCAGGGCTGAGAACCTTCCCCATTGGCCCCTCTCCAGGGAAGTCCCAAAGTGTGACATCACGAAACCACTATTGCCCCTTGCCTTGCTGGATTATGGGGCAAACATGCAAAAACCGAAAACCAAAGCACCCCAGAAAGAAACACCACCACAACAGGCTCACACGCCACAATAAAAAACAATGGATGTACCAGAAGCCCATGCAGCAGACCGCAATCAAGCCTGCGGGCACAACAGGAGTCATTCCACAGCACAATATACACACGACTACTTTCCAATCTGCAATCACTCTTCCAAATGAATAGCTGCCTTCTAAGATCATTTCGTCTTAAAAATACCATCTCAAAATAGGATTTAAAAAAATCAATTCGGCCAAGCATGGTAGCCTATAATTCCAGCACTTTGGTAGGCCAAGGTGGAAGGACTGTTTGAGCCCAGGAGTTCAAAACTAGCCTGGGCAACATAGTGAGACCCCATCTTTACAAAAAATGTAAAAATTAGCCAGGCATGGTAACTTATACTTGTGGTTCCAGCTACTTAGGAGTCTGAGGCAGGATGGTCAACTGAGCCCAGGAGTTTGAGGCTACAGTGAGTTATGATGGTGCCAATGTACTCCAGCCTGGGTGACAGAGCAAGACCCAGGCTCCAAAAAAAGTGGGGAGGGGGGAGGAATTTTCCCAGGTCCCCAATATTTAGAGAACTTATGTAAAATGTGCTGTATGTAGATCTACTACTGTTTAAAAAGGTGACTGTGTATTCTTCAACAAATATATACCCTCTGCCCAGGCCAAGAGAAAAGCACCACCCTATACTTGCCCTGTGTTCTCATAAGTCATGTTTAATGATGGTACCTGGGACTCATGCATGGGACATACATGGCAGGGGCAACAAAAGGCAAATTTCAAAGAGGTGTTGTTTAAGATGATGAGGAAAATACAAGTATGTGTGCTCAACTACCTAGTTTTAAAAACCAGGAGGCCATATGAAGGCGGTAGGATGGAGGTGTAGACATGAAGCCCAGGGCAGCCCCAAAAGGCAGTCTCCTAGGTATGGCCCTTGGACTTTGCATTAGGCCCCTACCCCAGACCTGGACCTACCCAGAGCTGGAGTTATGGGCTAAACTGAAGATGCCACAAGTGCATAAGGTCTTGTAGCACTGGCCAGGAACCACTGGTAACTATGCAGCAACAGCCACTCTGAATATTAGAAGAGCAGGATCACCTCTGCAGAGGCTGAGCTCCCTGGAGCTGGGTTCTGTAAAGGCAGGAGGATTGGGAGGCTGCGTCCTCTCCGCCTGGGGTTTAGTCTCTCACAGTCTCCAGGCAGGGACACTCCTTCTGCTTATAACCCTCCCCACTCCATTTCCTCCCCGCTTCAGGGACAGTCTTGTATATGGGGAGCAGGGAGCAGAGGGGGAAGGGGTAACCAGGCCCAGATTGGGCTATGGAGGGTCCTCAGAGGGAACTCAGGAACTAAGAAAGTTCCCCAGGAACAAAGGTCAACCCGAAACACCTGGGTTGGGATTTACCAAGGAGCAGGCCTTGGGGGCAGCTGGGCCTTTGGCTCTCCCCTTTCATTCCCCTTCTTCTGCACCCCTAGACTCAACCCCCAAGTACTTTATTTGTCTCGTTATGGGAAAGATCAGGCCTTGAAAGAGGCCCCAGTAGAGAAAAGTCAGGGAGGGGAGGCTGAGAGGCCACTTCCACAGAAGTAGCATGGGTCTCCTCCATTAGAGAGGCAGGTGCAGCAGCAGCAACCATCCCTAGATGCCCTCCTCCCTCCCTTGTACCTAAAGTACCCCCAGGGAAAAGGACCCCCAGGGGGAATCTGAGATGCCTCAGCCCCATGGGTCTCAGGCTCTGAGGCAGCAGCATTTCTTGAGGGGCTAAAGGTGCCTCTGAATAAAGCACCACTGTAGAGTCCATGTTATGGGCCTGGGGCAGCAGTAAGGAAGCCCAGGCAGCAGACACCGAGGTTTCTAACTGCCATCTAATTATCTGGTGGAAAAAGTCACTCAGTTGTATTAAATCTTGGTTTGCACCCACCCTGAGGGTTAAAACTGACCCCAGTAACAGTGTTATTAAAATCTGCATAAATTAATGAGTATCATGAAGATGTAGGCTGGCTTCATTCATACTAGAGGTAATAGTGAAGTGAAAACTGGAAAGCCACAAGGATTCCTGTATAAGAAGACAGAAAGGAGTTCCCAGCTGCACCCAGAGGCTGACGTGAGAACCCAGCACCCAGTGGCTTCCTGGGTCAGGCCCTTCCTCTTCCTGAGAGAAGGAGAACTAGGTCCTTTCTCAGAGTGAGCATAGCAACACCCAGCTGCCAAGTTTTAAAGGTAAAACGGCAGACTGGAGATTGGCTATTCATTATTAAAGAACATTGCAGTTGGAAGAGAGAACTGTCTACGAGGTGTGTAACTAGGAACCATGGCAGCACCGTGGGAAGCCGGCACGAGGCGGGGTGGGGATGGCACAAGCTTTCTCTGCATGAGGGTGAGACCCAAACAGACACTCTCTCCACAGACAGAAAACTCACCAACACTCCTCAAAACTGCTAAAGAAAAGAACCAAAATGAAATATTAGCAGTTTGTTAGCAAATACCAAATGCAAAAACAAAAAATTAAAAAGCCAAGTTACTTTTGTCAAAATACTTAACATTATTTGTTGAGGTCCCAACTACAGGGATGACTAGAATTATGAGCCCAATGTGCTTATTCCTTAGAGCAGCGTCACCGCCTGTACTCAAGCCCCAGGGAGACATCCCGCCTCGACATCCCGCCTCGGGCCAAGTTACCTCTTCATTTAAAGGAACGTTCAAATCATGAAAACTGTATCTATAAGTGGCTTGATGGCATTAGTAGGAAATCAAATAGAAACTTACATATTTGAAAAATACTAAAGAGGTATTAAGAAATAAATTCTAAATTTAACATGCAGAGTTAACAGGAATCAAAACTCCATGCCTCCTAGGAAAAAGACATCCAGGAGGCCCCCTTCTTGACTGCCCACACAGAGTGACTGTGCATCCTCCTTCAGGGCCCCAAGCCACGTCAAGCTGCACGCTCACACTCTCCACAGGGCAACATGCAATGGAGCAACAGACACGCTTTCTGGCTGGCTGTGCAGAGCTGCGGTGGGCACAGGAAGCTGCGTCTTCTTCCTATTTCCCAAAGGGACACTGGAGTCAGCGAATCCTAAGGCAGGTCTGGTTACCTGGTTTGTCTGCTTACGGAAGTGCCCTTGGGAATGAATCAGGCTCAAGTAGGTTGTCTGGGGGCCTGAATTCCCCTTCCCTGTTTATCCTCCCATCTCCAGGACTGACTAGGCTCTGGGCTAGCCCCAAGTAGCCTGTGCACATATCTGAATGGTGACTTCTCACAGGGCATGCTCTTCTGTTCCCTGTTCAGCCATCCAGCCTTGCCCATAATCAGTGATGCCCCTAGCTGCCTCCCTGACCCCCTCAGCCACTGATCTGACCTTTCGCCTCCTTCCTGCTCCAGTCCAGAGTCAGTTTTCTCAAGTCACGTCCTGACTTCCAGCCACAGCAGCATAGTCAGGTGCCGACCACCAGTTCCATGGCATGAACCAGAGCTCTTGGCCTGACCATCCACAGGATTCTCATGATGCTCCCTGGGCCTTTGCTCACCTTCCCTCAAGCTGCTCCATGCTTGCTTGCTGAGTCTGACCCTCCCCTCCCCAGCCCACATGCTGCAAAGGCTGTTGAGAGTTGCCTCTACTTGTTCCTTCCCACCTGAAACATCACTCCGCAGTCCCACCTCTTCTCCTGGCCCTTCTGATGAACTGCCTGCTCTTAACTCATTCCATCCTGTCAAAACCCTGCTCTGGCACTGTCTTCCTCTCATTCACCTTACCTCACCCACTTTTGTCTTTCCTATAAGCCCAAACACATGCTAAGTCATAATTATTCTCCCTAAACCAGAGACCTCATGCTACTTCCTCTATTTTCCAGTCACAGTCCAAGGACCTTATTGGTCATCTAGACTCATCATCCCCACTTCCCGAGCCAATGAAATCTTCACAGGTGATGCTCTGGAAGATCATCAATGCCTCCCGCACATCTAACAAAACAGCTTGGGTTTATTTCTGGCTCTCTCCCTCCTACCCCTGGGGGCTGGGTGGATGCCTTGCTCCATGTACCCCAGCATCCTCAGCATGCTTGTTTCGGGCTTGCTGATTTGTCTACTCCCAAGCAAGACCTAAGCCCTGTTTCAAGCTTGCTGACTTGTCTACTCCCAAGCAAGGCCCTAAGCCGCTGGAAACAGGCCTCCAGATCTGCTGGGCGCTGTAGCCCTGGTCACAGAGCAGGCTGGCGGCAAGTCTAGCCCTCTGACTTAGCTCTCCTCCCCTGGCACCGTGCACCTGGCCACATTTCACCACATGCACTGCTTCTGCCATGTCTTTGTATGAAACGACCTTCACTACTCTCACTACCTGGAAATTTCCTGCTCAGGACAGTAGCTCTGTACAGCCACCTGAATCTTTTAAAAACTAGGAATGTTTATCAATGCTTCTTCTAGGAAACAATGTGCTCCAGGCTTGATGCTTCAACTGACTGGCCAGGGACTCTAAAGGACACTGAGCCAGCAGAGTCCACACAGGGTGGCTGCCTGGAGCACCACTTCTGAGGTGGATCACAACCCACTTCTCATTTTGCAGGACAGGACCATTGATCCAGTGCCCTCATCATCCACCCTCAGTCACACACGCACAGAGCAGCACAGGCTCCATAAGGCAGCTCCTTCTGCCACGCAAAAGCAGGTCAGATGGCTGGATGTTTTAGCAGTCTTATTTTGATTTATTTTAAACTGAGAAAAGAAGCATCAGACAGCTGTACAAGGACCACGAACCCTCTCTGGCTACTTACTGTTTCTTGGTCTCTTCAAATTTGTGCAGCTTTTTGCGGAGACCTCCTGACTTAAAACCTTGGCAGTGTGCTGCTGGCGCCCCGATGGTGACGATGTCGTAGTTCTGATCTGAATGACAGAAAGCTCTCCTCCATTACTCTGGGCTCAGGCCTGTGGACGAGCCAGCTACAGGGATATGCACACAAGTCTGGAGTCCTGGCCCTCCAGCCCACTGCCGTACAGCCTTTGGTTCCCCCGATCCCACAGCCCAGGCTGCCCAAGGTCTGCTGGAGCCCAGTGCCATCACCTCAGCAAAAAGGGGTTCAAAACGTTTCAAGTGGAGCCACATGGGCTGCAGGAAGCCACCCAGCAACTCCTGTTTGCATCCTGCCTTGGGAAGAATGGCCGACAGGCAATTTTCTGCCACAGAAATACAAAGGGAAGCTGGAAGGAGGAGAGACAAAAGGAAGGGGTATGGGCTCTTAACAAAACCACCTTGTGACAAATCTCTCCTCTGAGCCACTTGGAACACACAGGGAAACTGGCAGATGTGGAGCACTCAGAGACCAAGTACCCAGAGAGAAAAGCAGCAAAATGTGATTCAGCAAGAGGGGGCAGAAAAAGAAGTACCTGATCCTCCATCGTCTTGAACTCTCATCCTTTGTATGTGCAAGTTTGTGGGAACAAATTCTAACTTTTTATCTGCTTTCAAACTGCTTGCTTTAAACGAGGGCCCTAAGAAATGGAATAGGAGAAGATAAAGGCCATCAGCATGCGTGCTGCATTCAGGAGTTGCAAGTAGAAAATGGAATTCAGAGGATGCTGTGCATATAAGCAGGTATGTATCGGCAGTGGCCTAGAAGGTTCTAAATTGCCATGAGCACATTTCATTTCCATGTGGCAGATGGGTGAGATGTCAAGGGCTGCCCACTGTCCAGGAGGCTGGTTCTGGTGTTCAGGTGGTGAATGGTGCCAGGGAGAACCAACTTCAAAAGGCTATGGGAACAATGCTCTGCCTTCAGTGACTCAGCTCTCTACTGAGAGATCTGATACAAAAAATGTGATTCTGTGCAGCACAATGTCGGCATTACCATAATAAGCAAAGGGGTCCATGCCAGAGACTGCCTGCTCTGACTTCAGAGACCGCCACCATCAAAGAACTAAGAATTTGGTTTGGCTAGAGCAATACATCTCAACTCCTGAAAGTGATCAAGAGGGCTTCTCATCCCCACAGGCCCATCAAGACGAACAAATGCAATACAGCATTGATTCCAGCCTTCTGACACACAAACGTCAATATGTTTCCCTGTTAACACTTGGTTGGTTAAGGAGGCTGGACACCATTTTATAACAAATATCCACAATCTTGTTTCTATATTCAGAATCTATAACTAATTAAATAGAGAATCACATGCCTACAAAATAAAGGGACTACGAATTAAACTGAAAACAAGAAGAGTGGAAGAAATAAAGATTTTATCTAGTGAAAACCATGAACTAATACAGCTAGCATATGAATCATAGACCAGCCACAGTGTGTCTCCCAGTTTGCCACAGGAGATGTTTTCTATGGCCTAACACCTAGGGTGCAGTCCACAGACTGCAGCATGAGCATCCAAGAGGCTGTGAGAAGCACACAATCCCAGACTGCCAATTTAACACAATTCTCAAGGGATCTGGGTGCACACTGACATCTGAGAAGCTCTGCTCTAGAAAATTCAAGGTTGTGTGGGTTTCATACTTTCCCAGGTAAGAGCCACCAGGCATGGGTGAGTCCCTCAGTTCCTTCCTGGGCAAATGCTGCCATTTCTCCTAGTCAGACCCTCTCTTCAGACTCACATCAAGCCTAGGCAACACCGCCTTGTCAGTCCTGCATTTGGTTTCTTCTCTTCCAAGTTCATAGACAGGTTCATATGTTCTGTGTCAAAACCACATTAAGGGCTTATGGTTGTCCTTAAACCCCTGAAATTCCATTATGTAGAGGAATCAAGGGGAAGAATCCAAAAATCAAGAATAATTCAAAATGCTAAAGCAATATATAGAGTAATGAAAAACCAAAAAATTCATTCCACTTGGAATAAAAAAGGAACAAGTTAAGAACAAATTTCTGAATCTGCCCTGAGAGCGTTTTGAAAATCAAATGGCATCTTTCAAGAAGAAATGGTGAGGTGTTCATTCATATTCCACTGTTTTTTAAGCCTTAAAATACAGAGCTCCCCCTTGACAATTTATATGTTTAATAAAAGTTATAATTTACTCTTTAAGCTGGGAAATCTAGAAAACTGCTTTGTTTCAACGTGAGGGCCTACATCCTCTTGGTCACTGTACTGACATTAGTTCAAGTTGAAGAAATAACATGAACCAGCAATAGCCGGTGATTTCACCTCCCCTAGATTTCATTCTACAGTGGCTATTTTGGTAGATGACACCATAGGAGGACTCTTCACTGCAATTCACAGATTTGTCTTTTTAATTAAGATCAGAAAAACCCATATTTGAAAGAATTCATACCTACATGAGAAGTTATTTTTAAAAATCCATTAAAGTGTCTGTCACTGGGAATGTGTAAGTGACCCTGTGTTCCAGGTCTCTGGCCGGGAAAGCAGCGTAAGTGAGTGTGTGTGGTGATGGGATGGGAATGCACCCACCTTTGTACTGATGGAGGTCAGTCAGGTTCTCCTGGTATGTGAGGATGATGGTCTGGTACTGGGTAACAATTTGGCGCCGGAGGCTCTCCCAGCAAGGGGACAGTTCCCCCAGCTCCTCCAGCTCACACACTCTGCAAGCAAGACAGAGATGCATCAGGCTGTGGGCTAACTGGTTTCCCTGAAGAGCCCCAAGAGGCCTACCCAGGACAACAGCATTTGCATGGGAAGTATCACAGATGCCCAGCGTGGGCCAGGACAATGGTTACACTGGCCGTCTAAAGAGAGACTGGGTGGCAGGGGAGGACAGACAGCTACATGAAAGGCAGACCACTGACCACACGGAAGTGTGTCTAGAGAAGCTTTTCACAGGAACTCAGTCGAATGTTCAAGGGAGACAATGTGGAGGTGGGCACAAGGTGACAGGCTGCTGGGGAGAAGATTTGCCCTGGTACTCTGGACACCTGCAGGTGACCTCAAGCACAGACTCAAACCACAGCCCACCTGAGTCTGGGCTAAACAATGATCCTCCCAGAACAGAGAAGACTGCAGGCTTGAGAGTAACCGTCCTGGGCCACTTCCCCTAGGAGGCTATCAGGACAGCATTTCTCAGGGCCTCCCAGGTTCTCCTGCGGTGTGGGCCCTCTGCTCTCCTCTTGAGAAGGGAGCCACAGAATCTAAAACCACTCAGCTGTAGCCTAGAGGTGGCACCTCAGCAGCGGAGTCCCACAAATTGTGCTGCAATCACAAGCCCTTCTGCCTCACTGCTATCCTTTTTGGGTATGGGACAAGGACTATGGGAGCTGGCAACTCTGGCTATTCTTCCTTCTGTGTCTAAGTAAGAGAGGAGCTGTCTGAGCCTAAAAGTGGCCCGCTGTGTCATTGTTGATGAAATCAGGCCTGACTTTGTCTTTATGTGTGTGTGTGACAGAGGCACAAAGTAACAGAAGGGGGAAGAGTAAGAGGAAGGAGAAGAGAAGAAAAAGAGGAATTGTTATCTCCAAAAAAAAATAAAAGCTGTGTAAGAACTGAAATATAAATTCCTTAGCTCAGCAATGAAGAATAGCTACACAATCATAACAGTGAAATCACAAGATGGATTTAAAACCAAAAAGGATAACCAAATTAGGAAAATGGGGACTGAGAAGGTATAAAAGGTCAAACCCTCAGCATAGAAAATTGGTAGCTAATCCCTGAAATTGATTAATGAAGAGAACCTTTTACACATATATTTAGAATTATATCAGTAAACACTAAAACTCTCAAAAAGTGATTGTTTCTGGGAAGTGGATCAGAAAGTAAAGCCCCAAGAGTTATGTTTTTAGTTAAAAACCTTTCAGCACTATTTGTTTTTATACTGCGCTCATGTTTTCCTTTGAGAAAGAAGAAAAGCTAAATTTTAGAAAAGTTCTTAGGAAATCTAACTTGTCTAAATTGTTTTAAAAAGCTGTACCATTTTATTATTATGAAAACAGCAAAGGACACCCAGAGCAGGTAGTAGGGCTATGTGGTCAGCCGGCCCCACGGCCTCAGGCCACTCTGAGAACAGCAGCTCTGTGTGCCAGGCTGCTGCTAGTTACTGTCTCTAGAATGTGTCTGCCCTGTGTTCATGTGACTGCTTTCTATGCTTCAGGTGTTAGCTTAATGTAATCATCTCACAGCGGCCAGCCCTGATCACGCTCTTTCTTCTCACAGCTCCCTTTTCACTTCCAGCACACGCTGAAGCATCTGGAGTTCCTGTGTGAGGTACCCAGTTCTGTTTCTGACCAACCCCACGTAAAGCTCACCAAGAAGCCTCCCACACTGAGAACAGTGCCTGACATGCGGTTGTTGCTTTAAAAAAAAAAAACAAAAAAACCATGAACTAAAGCACTTGTTAAATGAATCAACTCTTGCCCAGGCACAGTGGTTCATGCCTAGAAGTCCAGCTTTTTGGGAAGCCAAGGTGGGAGGATCGTTTGAGGCCAGGAGTTGGGGACCAGCCTAGGCAATATACCAAGACCTTGTGTCTACAACAAATGAAAAAATTAGCTGGGCATAGTGGCGTATGCTTGTAGTTCTATCTGCTCAGGAGGCTGAGGTAAGAAGATGGCTTGAGCCCAGGAGTCTCAGACTGCAGTGAGCTATGATGGTGCCGCTGCACTCCAGCCTCGGCGACAGAGCAACACCATCTCAAACAAACAAACAAAGTGAATAAACCCTTTAAAATTATAACATACCATGTAATGGGAAATTGAAACATGAAAACTGAAGATACATGGAAAAGTAGACTGTCATTACGTAAATATAGACAAATATGGGCAAAGCTGAAAGAAAATTTTTAAAATTAACTATTAAAAATATGTGCATAGATAGAGAAAGCAATTGGCAAAATATTAACAATTGGTGATTTTATGTGAAAAGTAACCTAGGTGCTCACTGCATTATTCTTGACCTTTAAGTTTGATTTTTCTTTTTCCCCAGATAAAATATTTAAACAAAATAACTCTTTGAAAACAGCAGGATTCTGGCTGCCTTGCTTTCTTTCACACTTCTGTTATATTGTGTTTATAATTAACATCACTTTCAGACAAGGAGAAATGACAATCTGAGACTACCCCCAAAGTTCCTGTGTTGGAAATTTCATCCTGAATGCCACAGTTTTGAGAAGTGGGGCCTTTAAGAGATGATGAGGTCATGAGGGCAGAGCTCTCATGAAAGGATTGATGTCATTATCACAGGAATGGGTTGGTTATTGCAAGAATGGGTTTGTTATAAAAGTAAGTTTGGCCTTCTCTCAAGAGCTCTCTTGCTACGTGATGCCTTCCATCACAGGACGATGTAGCATGAAGGCCCTCACAAGATGCCAGCACCATGTTTTTGGACTCCCAGTCTCCAGAACAAATATATTTTTAATCATTATAAGTTACTCAGTCTCTGGCATTCTGTTACAGCAGCACAAAACTAAAACAGAGACACACAGGAGACATAAGCTGCAAGGCCTGGACTACCTGTTGGGCCTCTCCTCACCTTAGGACTGACAAGACATGCCCTGGGTTGAGAGATACAGAGGGGTTACGGCCCTTATGACCACAGAGCGCTGACAGGCCATACTCAGTCTTCTGGAGCCCTTATCTCTATGGCCCTAACCTAGAAAACTACTGATCTGGGCAGCTACGATCAAAGAATTACCAGTTATTTCTAACTTTCTGAAGGACTAGTAAGAGGGAAAAGAAAGTAAGAGAAGGTAGGTTGGGCGTGGTGGCTCACTGTAATCCTAGCACTCTGGAAGGCTGAGGCAGGTGGATCACCTGAGGTCAGTAGTTCAAGACTAACCTGACCAACATGATGAAACCCCATCTGTACTAAAAATACAAAAATTAGCTGGGAATGGTGGTACACACCTGTAATCCCAGCTACTTCTGAGGCTGAGGCCGGAGAATTACTTGAACTCGGGAGACGGAGGTTGTAGTGAGCCAAGATCATGCCACTACATGCCACTACTAGCCTGAGCAACAGAGCAAGACTCTGTCTCAAAAAACAAACAAACAAACAAACAAACAAACAAACAAACAAACAAACGGAAAGAGGAGAAGGGAGGAAGTTTTGAGTGCAGGACACACATCTGGGATCAAGTACACTCTCTTATGAAATCCTTCCACAGCAATCGATGATACCAATGAGCAAACTGAGGCTTAGGCAAGCCAAGGCCACAGAGCTATAGGGGAAGAGGCTGTGTTTGTAGCCCAGTCTATCTGATGCCAGTGCTCTGCCCACTATATCTCAGAAAGGAAGGGGCACATGACATGGGTATGATCAACAGTCAGTCCTTCCATGTGGCCTCACCTGGCTGCATCTTCCTCTAGTAGGAGCTTCACGAACTGCCGGGGCACGTGCAGGGAGAGCACGCTCTCTGCCATCTGCTCCAAGATCCGCAAGTGGTTACCATCGGTGGTTGGAAACCGGTACATGCGGCAAATGGCACCGCCAAACACTGAAGTGGAATGACAGGGGAGACGGGCTGCATGTGAACCAGCTGCAGACCTGCCTCATGCGTTCTCCTCCCCTGGCCCTCAGGGATGCTGACACCTCAAGTCCTCTCACTGTTCGTCTCATGGGAATTAAAACACTAATACTAAAGACCCACCAAGTGGCTAAGCCTAAACATTTCTTCCCAGCAACATACAATATTCCTCTCCCAGAACATGTAACTAACTCTAAAGTGCAAGCAGCTGGGGGCAGGGAGGCTGTCAGTCACCAACCCCATGTGAAACAGAAAAGAGTGAGATAAAGCAGGAGCCCCCACTTCCTTGGAGTGTTACTCTTTTTTATTTTTTAATCCTCTTTCAAGGAAAATTATCATTGTTTTTGTACTAACTCTTTATATGCTGCAAAAAGAACACAATGATAAGCAGCAGAGAGAGGTGACAATCAGGGTGCATGACTGGGACAATCGCAGCAGGTGCAGAGCAAAGGGGACTGAGGGCCCAAGTGGACACTCACAAGAGAGAGAAGAGTACAAAAGGAGGAAGCTGTTTACCTGATTTCAGCAAAGTGTCCTTTCGCAATGAAGCATATTTGGATCGAATTCCTAATGCCTCTGTTAAGCTCTCATCAACGGGAAGAACCATCTGATAATGTGTAAGGAAAAGCACAAGAAAACCATGAGACTCAGATGACTCCAGAGGATTTGGCAGAAAGAGTGGCCTAAATACATCATAACAGAACTCTTAAGATGAATATCCACCATTAATTCTATAATAAATATGCTGCCCAAGCCACAAAGTAATTCACCTCCCAGTGTGTTGAATCACTTCATGCACACACAATTCTCTAGACATGCATGGTTTCTCAGTCACTTCGCCTTGTGTTTCGGTGTTCTGATGTACAAAATGAAAGGAAGAGAAGAGATAATGCCAAGGGATATTTCCAGAACTAACATTCTGGGGTTATTTTGGGTAAAATGAGACATCTCCATATTGTACAACAATGACTAGTTACCAGTGTTGGGGCTCTGAAATTAGAATTTTTCTTTGAGTGTCTGTGTGAGAGACTGCATGAGAGGGAGTGCAGGAAGGTGTAGCTAGAGATGGGGAGGAGGACTGGGGAAGAGAGGAGGATAAGAAAAGGTGGGGGTGTGTACCAGGCAAGTGCAGGGCATGCATGTGTCTGGGAGAGGGAGGTATTAACAAAACAGGACAGATGACCCGGGTCCTAAATGCCTCTTTGCTCGCCCTCCACACCCCTCAAGTTGCCCCCTTACTGCGGTTCTTCCAGTAGAGCTCTTTCCTGCTCCCTCCTGCCCCCTAGAAGTGGGCAGTGTGGCACCCAGAACAGAGGCAGGCTCCAAGGCAGCAGGGCCTTACAGGCAGAAGCCCTTTTTCCTGCTTCAAGGTGTGCCTGGGGAGAACCGGAGTGTCCATGGGAGCAGCATCAAGCAGCAGGCCCTGCCCTTTGCTGAGCAGAGAGGCTAAGTCCACGACGGCCACATTTTAACTGGTGAATTCTCTCACTCTTTCTAAGGGAGATGAGAAAAGTAGCGAAACTCACCCTCCCGTTGACAGTGTCTACAGACCGGGTCACAGGGGGCCGTTGGTCTGACTTCTCCTCCATCTGCCAGCCAATCACAGTGATGTTACCCACACGGTCACTCTCTGCAGACCTATGATGCACAACATGCTTTAATAAGTGGTGCTGTAACTGTGCTTCCTTTCTGCTGAAATGCAAAGCCCTAGCCATCCTGAGTCATCAGGGTCCTGGGGGCAGGATGGCCGAGCTGGCTGACCAGTTGCTGTGTGCCCAGGGCTCCTCCCAGGCAAGACAGATGAGGAAACCATGGGACACAGTGGAGGGCTGTGTCTGAACGGACAATGCACCACAAAGTGTGGACGTGCTGGTGAAGTGGAAGGAGCCTCCCCGAGGAGGAACCAATGCTGTTCCCGAGCTGCTGCCAGTGCCTGGGCTCACCCCTGTCCAGAGGGTAAGAGGGACACATGAGGACTAGAGAACACCTTGTTCTGGCACTGGGCCCCTTCAGTTCCTTCCTACCCCACCCTCAGGCTTATATTAGCCCAAGGCCTAGGCCTGGACTCCAAGAAATAGAAACCAGCCAGGGCTTCCTGAAGCCCTTGAATCCTGATATGACACCTCAGCCTCAGTCAGCTTCACCCTGATGTCCCGAAGGGTGGCTGATGGCGGCCTGGGCTCATCTGATTCATCAAAGGAGCCTGAGAACTTCAGGCTTTCTATTTATGAGGTCTCACTTAACCAGGTTCTAAATTTTTGTGTGGTCCCATCTACTGACCATTTCCTTTGTGACTTCCTAGCCCTGTCTTCGTGCCTATAAAGTCCTTACCTGCGCTATCTGTTCAATCAGCAGTCACCTTTAGCTCCTTTAAAAAGAATGATGTCCATTTTGTACGTTTAACTCTAACCCAACTAAAGTTAACTGACACATGATATAACTAAATATTTTCCTCAAAGCCCTTTCCCTCACATGATCCCTCTCATTTTACCTAAGATTTTTCCTTTTCCCTACATCAAGTTCTCTATACAAACTATGGGCTGCTACAGGGCTCTTAACCCGTCCACTGATGAGACAGCCAATGCCTGCAACACTGTCTTTACTTACAGTAGCTTCAGAATGTCTCAATATTGCAGGAACTTAATTTTTGTCAAATTTTCCTTGCTATTTTGGATTATTTTCCCAGATTATAGTTTTCCGATTTTTATATTATTCTGAAAAATGAACACCATGTCTGAGTTTTGGTGGGAAGTTCCCCTAAGATTATTTGGAAGGACTGACATCCTGATATCTTTCATCTTTCCATCCAGGGATACAGTAGGGGTTTCCCTTTCATTCACTCATTCCTTCCACAAATATTTATTGAGCACCAGGCACTATTCTAGGTGTCTGGGAAATAGCAGTGAAGCAAATCAGACAAAATTCCCTGCTGTCTGGGAGATTATATTCCACTGAGGAGGGGCTAAATAATGGACAAACAAACTTAGTATTATGAAGGGTGCTCTCTCAGTATAGGAAGTGGGTCCTTTCCCCATCTGTCCATAGACCTCATCATTCTAGATCCTTTTGAGAGAATAAAATTAAATACCAACCTTAGTGTTAAATGCAACCTATGATGCCTGTCCTGGAGCAGATCTTTGACAATGAATGTTCCAGAGCCCAGTAAATACATCTGAGGAAGAAAAGGTAAGAGACAGCATTGGTGCACCTGCTTTGCTTCTGATGCAATTACCATTGGCCCCGAGAGTCCAGCTTACTGCTTCCCACAGCACCTCTTACCCTCATGTCAGAAGCCCAATAGAAAAGCTTAGAGAGAAATTTCCAAAAAACAAATGCATTTAGACATGAGTCAACTTGTGAGCCAGTAGTGAAGTCAATCTGTGTTCACCTCTCACACAAGTGATTACATAATTTTTTCAAAGGGAAGAAAATCCCACGAACTATAACACATTACTTAACTGTTCCCTGAGATCTATCTTTGACATCATACACGGAGAGTTTGACTTGTGTCATCTGATTGATAAGAGAGTCTTGAAAGAAGGCAATACTGCTTAGAAATATAGGATTGTTGGTTCCCTAGAACAGAAAAGGAAATAAACAGAACACAGGGTTGAATTTTTTAAAATATAATTGCTTTTGAAATACACCAACATTTTCTGAATGAGAAACTAACATTCTCACTGACTGAGTCAATACAAATGCTAAAGGCAGCTTAAATAAATACATAACCCGCCCCCCCGCAAAAAAGCCCTGCTTTTTAAAAGAGAAACAAGAAGTCTGACACAGACCATTACAGATCCACATACAATAAATCAACCCACTGCACAAGCTGTGCCTGAGGGCTCATTTCACAGGTTTCACACTCAATAGAAGGAATTTTAAAACAATGAAACAAGTTGGATGTCCACATGCATTCTTAGTTTTATAACTTAAAGTGTAATATATATTTGGACCTACTACTTTGGGTTATTCCTTTAAGAGGTACAAACATGCAGATGAAAGAAAGAAAATGAATGGCTTAAATGGTTTATTATGTATTTCTAGAAGCCCATGTTTGGCATAATTAAAGTCTGACTTTTAAAAAAGCTATCATTTTTTTTAGGATCAGCTGCTAGTTTTTAGATTAGAGGTGACTATTTCCTGGCAGCTCAGCCGTGTCCTCCAGAGCCCCATAATACCATACTCTCTCTCTCAGGTACCAGATAACTATCACCACTACCATTGCTTGGGCCTCTGGCTCCATTCTCTCTCTGCATATCCAGATCCAGGCAGTCAAGCTGACCGGACAGTTCCACCTAGGTGGACTGCTGGGGCCTCACCCAACTCACTTCTCCCTCGACCCACCCTTGGCTAAGGCCATCTCTGACTCCTTTTCCAAGCAGGCTAAAAGCCCAGGTGTTCACTTTCCAAGCAGGCTAAAAGCCAATGCCTTCTTCTCTGTTGTTCTCAACCACCCCAGTGATCACGAACTCCTCTTGCAAGGTCCACCTCCAGAGTCTCTGTCATATGCTCCTTTCTTTCCATCCCCACCCCCTCGCACTCCCAGTCCCACAAATGACTGTCCTATACAAGTTAGAACATCTGGTCAGGTGACTCCCCTGCACAGAAGCCTACACTGGCTCATTACCATCTGCTAATAAACTCCATGGCCTGGCCTTCAAGTCTTTCTTTCCTTGCTCTGCTACTTGTACCTTTCACACACCAACCAGGATATGGTTAGACCCCAAATCTGTATGATGCCTTCCCTATGGTCACGCATTTGCGTAACAACAACAGAATTTTGGCATGCTCTTCATGTGTGGTCCCCAGACTGGCTACCTGGGCATCACTTGGAACCTTGCAAGAAATGCAGTCTTGAGCCCCACCCCAGACATACTGAAGCAGAATTCCATGAAGCCCCACCCTAGGAAGTCTGCTCTGAACTCCAGAGCCAGATAGGATCCCAGCCTCTTGGTGCTCTCCTCACCTTCCTACTACTCTTAACACTTCCCATACTCTGCGTTGCATAGGGGCAGCCATATTCATTTCTGCCTTCCCATCCACCAGCTGGTCAATTCCTCAGGGCAGGGACTGTGCCCTGATGGGCTCTGTATTATCCGCAATGCCTGACACTATGCTAGATGTGTAGACAGCACTCAACAAACGCTTAGAAAGCAGAACTGTTGACATTAACTTGGAAATGAGTTTCTAAGAGACTGAAAGGGTAGGCTAGCTTCCAAGATGCACAACTGGTGAAAAAGAAGAAATGCAGTTTAAGTTTGATAATTCTTCACTTTACAAATAAAACTCTGCAGAATCTCACGCCTGTAACTCCTACACTTAGTGTTATAACTTATGTAATGTGCTTGATGATCTAAAAGGATTTTACAAAATTCCCTCCATAAATGTTTATTGTGTAATTTAGTGGGAAAAGTAAACATATGACACAAAACTCAAAAGGCTGTAAAAACAAAAACCAACAAAAATAGGGGTATGTCTGGACAAGAAGGTGGTTAATAGTTAATACTCTTCTAAGCTTTGATTAATGAGCACAACTCTCCCAAAGCAGCAGCCAATTGGAGGTGAAAAGAAGGAATTAGGTCTTACCTCTTACAAGCCAATGAGGCTTACAAAATCATTGTTCAAAAACAAGCTGTCAATAGTTAATCAATAACTATAAAAGATATGGCAAATATAAATGCTACCCAGATGAGTAAATGTGATGAAAAATATCAATGTACTGAAAACCCACGGGAAAATAGCAACAACTCACGTAAACATGGCTTCAACTACAGCTGCACACATAACTGAACATCACGAGAGACACCCTCGAGCATGTCCCACAGCCCCTCAAAGAGGGACCAGCAGCACCCACCTCAATGATTTCCGTCTGTGCATGCTTCGTCCAGAATGCCTGAGGTGGGGTGGTGACACTCACCGCAACAAAACTATTTGGCTTTCGATCTAGCGATGGAGTATGCAGCTCACTGCAAGCTACAGAATCAAGATGGGAAAGAAACAAATCCTTTAAAACTAGATTCTCATTAGTTCTCTGTTCCAAACACACTCAAAGAAAGCAAAAAAAGTAAATGACATTCAAAGAAATGATACGATCACATCATCAGTTGTCCCAGGGAGATTTTTTAAAATTTGAAACAATCCCTTTTCATGCCCCCTCCGTGCCACTCTCCGAGACAGCACTGCCATAACTGCAGTGAATGGCTATGTTGACAGGGGCTTCCGATGTCCATGGATTGGAACACAAAGCCAGAAATCTCATATAGGTCCAATACTTCAAGTCTGACCTCAGTAACCATTCCAACTCTAACAAAGAGTAGCTTCATAGGAGCCAGTCTATGAAATCTAAGACAGAGCTACCCATGCTTACATCCTGTGACTGCTGTGGCTGACTCTGAGCATGTGGTGCCCCAGGTGTCTTGGCAAGTGGATGGATAGATGTTGGAAGAAAATTTAAATTCTATGGCAAAATAAACAAAGCTTTTTTTTTTTTTTTTTTCAGAGTAAGCCATTGTTCATTTACAATCAATGACAGACCATATATACGACAGTAGTCTTACAGATTACAATGGAGGTGAAAAATTCCTACTGCCTAGTAATGTCATAGCCATCCTAATATCCCAACACAAACACATTACCTTTCTATGTTTAGATACACACTTACCATTGTGTTACAATTGCCTATAATATTTAGTACAGTAATATGCTGTCCAGGTTGGTAGTCTAGGAGCAACAGGCTATACTATGTAGTCTAGGTGCCTAGTAAGCTGTACCATCTGAGATCCTGTTAGTACACTCTGTCATGTTCACACAAGGACAAAATCGCCTAATGACATATTTGACAGAATGTATCCCCAACATTAGCTACACACAACTATACTTAATGCCACCAAATAGTATACTTAAAAATAGTTATAGTAATAAATTTTATGTACATTTTATCACAATTTTAAAATAAAATTTAAAAAATGTGTTAACTCCAATTTAAAAATATATTATGTGTCCACAACGGGTGAGACAAATGAACAGGAAATTCGGGGAGAGGAGTGATGAAATGAAGGAAGACACTAATAAAAACGAAAGAAAGAACAGGGAGAAAAAAGGAAAGATTAAAAGACAATTAGAAAAATACCAAGAGGGAAGGAAGAGACAGGAATTTGGAAGAGAAGGGGAGAGCAATACCTTGGCATGTTTTGAAGAGAGTTTAGTTGGGAAGATGTCTTTGTCGTATTCATTTCGTATAAGTTACTATTTCCATCCTTTACAGGACCTGTGGTGATCTAACTAACCACTATCCACAGCTTGATCTGTTCTTTTGGGTTCTAATTATACTTTTTCTGACTTTAATATTGCCACACCAGTTCTCTTTTGTTAGCATACACATTTGTGTGTGCATGTTTTTCTACAGTTGCTGTTCATGTAGCTATAACCCAGATGTTTACCCCAGATCTTAAGTCTTTACAATTTCAATCCCTTCTCTATTGGTGAACATCCATCTGGAATCATCAGCCTTCTATCTAGGAACTTCTATTAGCACTGTTTATACTGTAAATCTGAGGTTGACATTCTTGCAGCTTTCAAGGTTTAAAAATGTCTTTATTCCACCTTAATTCTTGAAGGAAATTTTCTCTAAGTAGTCATTTTCTCTAAGCCCTCTAAATATATTGTCTCTAGGCCTCTGTATTTTCTGTTACGAAGTCAGCTGTCAGTCTAGTTGTTTCTACTTGGAGCACTGTATTTTCTCGTAGCTTCTATAATTTTCCCACAGAGTGTGGCTTGCAGTTTTATTATGATGTGCCTAGTACATTTTCTTTTTATTTATTCTGTGAATTGTTGTATTAGTTTGGGAGAAATGCTCAACTATAAATATTGCTTCTGACCCTTCCCTGTGTTCCTTCTTAAAGATATAAAATAAATGTAATATTATACAAAAATCAATGTAATATTAGACCTCTCCCTATGCTGTTTTTACTCTCTGATATTTTTTCCCATTATTTTCATTGCTCTAGTTTCATTTTGGAAATTTCCTTCTTGAAAATTTTCTTTTAATTCTAGAATATCTATTTGGTTCTTTTTATGGTTTCTAGTTCTCTGAAAATGTTCAATAATTTCTTTATTCTATTTTACCATAGTATTACAGACTGAATGTTTGTGTCCCCCTAAAGTTTCTTTAAGTAGGTCTCTCCTCTGACACAAACCCCAAAATTTATGTGTTGAAATCTTATATCCCAATGTGATGGTGTGAGAGGTGGGGACTTTCAGAGGTGATTAGGTCTTGAGGGTAGAGTCTTCATGAATGGGATTAGTGCCTTTAAAAGAAGAGATGCAAGAGCTTGCTCCCTCTGCTCTTCTCTCTGCCATGTAAGAATATAGGAAGACTACATCCAACTGCAAACCAGAAGCTGGCCATCATCAGACAACACATATCCTGGCATCTTAATCTTGCACTTCTCAGGCTCCAGAACTGTGAACAATAAATTTCTATTTTTTAGGCCACCCAGTCTACAATATTCTGCTATAGCAGCCCATATTAACCAAGTCATATGGTCAGTAACAGTTATTTTAGTGTCTGTCTCTTAACTCTAATATATACAGGGTCTGTTTCTATTGTTTATTGCTTTTAGTGTCTTTCTCTTAACTCTAATATATACAGGGTCTGTTTCTATTGTTTATTGTTTCTGTTCGTATTTCTTGTCTCCTCATGTTTCTGATAATTCATGATTTTATGCTAAACACTATATTTTAAGAAAAATTGCTTGTACAAATTATTTGAGGCCTATGATGCTGCTGCCTTTCTCCAGACAACATTTGTAACTGCTTCTGCCTGATTCTAAGGAGCATTATCACTCTAAGACATTTTCAGAAACTTTATGGACCTGTAGTCCCTATCAACACCTGCTTCTGGTTCCCCTTACTCTAGAAGTTTAGCCTTTTGGATTCTAGATCTAAGTGAGAAGGGTTTCATCAAGTATCCCTTCCCTTAACAGACCCTAGAAAACAATCCCCTTCACTTCTGCACTGAGAGGCTGTTTAAAGCACTGTGCAGCCTCTGGACCTCTTGACCTTCCTCTTGGAACCACTCTAAGCCCTCAAGGGAATAAGTAGGCCTCTGCTCTCAGATTCTTTACTGTCCTATCAGTTCTCTTGGTCGCATGGACCAGACATTTCAGATTTTTTTTTTCATTTTTTTCTAGTTGTTCTTAATAGTAGATTTGATTTTTGTTTGTTACTTATCTAGAAAAAGATTTTCTTTCTCTTAGGAATTTACTAGTCTGACAAGGAGATGCCTGGCAGCTGGAACACTCTTGAGTCTTAAGCCCATTGTTTCCTGTGGAAATAATTCTTCTGTTGCTTCTGGCCTGCTGCTACTCCTCTTTCCTGCTCTTTCTCTGCTTCTAGGTCTCCTATCAATCAAATACTAGAACTTCTGGATCTTGCCATAACTGTTCACTCAACAATCTCTATTTCTTGATATTTTTCCCTTGAACTGTGAGATGGTTCCTTCATTTACCTTCACAGATTTATAACAGTTTTCAGCAGTGTTGCTTTGATTTTTGTTATAGGGTTCTGTTAATATATGATTCACATACCATAAAGTTCACCCCCTTAAAGTATACAATTCTGTGGTTTTAAGGCATTCAGAGTTGTACAAGCATCACCACGAATTCCTTAACATTCTCATCACTCCAAAAGCAACAAATCAAACCCGTTGCCCCCATTCACTGGTCCCCCAAGAAACCACTAATCTTTCTATCTACATAGATTTGTATAGTTCAGATATTTCATATAAGTGGAATCATATAATAGGTGGCTTTTTGTATCTGGCTTCTTCAATTAGCATATTATAAAGGTTGATCCATATTGCAGCAAATATCTGTACTTCATTCTTTTTTATTGATGAATAACATTCAATTGTATAAGCATACCACATACTGCTTATTCATTTTTGAAGGATATTTTGATGAACAGAAAATTCTTAGCTTTTTCTTTCAGCAATTTGAACATGTCATTTCACCACCTGTATGACCTCCATGGTTTCTGATGAAAAATAGCTGTTACTCTTATTGATGATCCCTTATACATGGTAAGTCATTTCTTTCTTTGCTTTAAATATTCTGTCTTTGGTTTTCAGTGGTTTGAGTATGATGTATCAAGTGTGGATCTCTTTGAGCTTATCCTACGTGGAGTGCATTGGACTTCCTGGTTATGTAGACTCATGTTTTCCATCAACTATGGGAAATTTTTGGTCATAACTGACACCTTTTTATCTTCCCCCCTTCTCTATTTAGTCTTCTTTTGGAACTCCTATTATACATATATTGGTGCACCTGATTGTGTCCCACAGATCTCTGAGGCTCTGTTCATTTTTCTTCATTCTTTTTTCCTTTCTTTTCCTCAGACTGGACAATCTCAATTGACCTGTCTTCAAGTTTGCTGATTCTTTCTTCCGTCTTCTCAAATCTACAGTTGAGTCTCCCTTAATGAATTTTTCATTTCAGTTATTATAATTTTGAACTCCAGAATTTCTATGTAGATCTCTTTATAATAGACTCTTCAAGTCTCTAGTTGGTGAGACATTGTTCTCATACTTTCCTCAGTTTTTTGGACACAGTTTCCTTCAGTTATTTAAACATACTTAAAATAGCTGATTTAAAACTCTTTGTCTACTAAGTCAAACATTTGTGCTTCCTCAGGGATGGCTTCTACTGACTCCATGGGTGTTTCCCTCTGTGAATGAGCCATGCTTTCTTTTTGGCAATGTCTCATACCTTCTTGTTGAAAACTATAGACATTTTAAATAGCATAATGTGGGATTTCTGTAATTAGATTCTCCTCCCGCTTCCCCAGGCTTTGTTGTTGCTGCTTTTTCATGTGGCTATTTCTTCAGTGCCTTTCATGATCTAATTCTGTAAAGTAGTATTCTTTGTCATCTGTGGCCATTGAAGTTACTGCTTCATTAGATTAGTAGTCAGATA